TCATCCATTCCATTACCTCGGCCAAGCATCGGTTCAGCACAGCCACTGCCTCACCTGGATTAGTGGAAAATGAGAGGTAGAGCTGGGTATCATCAGCGTATTGATGATTCCGCAGCCCACACCTCCTGATGACCTCTCCCAGCAGTTTCATATAGATGTTAAATAGCAGAGGGGATAGAATGGAGCCCTGTGGTACTCCATGGCATAGCTGCCATGACGCAGAGACATGGTCCCCCAGCACTACCTTCTGGAATCGACCGTTGAGATAGGAGCGGAACCATTGCAAAGCAGTGCCTCCAACCCCCAATCCCGCTAGCCTATCCAGAAGGATACCATGGTCGATGGTATCGAAAGCCGCCGAGAGGTCCAGAAGAACCAACAGGGATGCACTCCCCCTGTCCTTCTCCCTGCACAGGTCATTGTACAGGGCGACCAAGGCAGATTCAGTACTGTACCCGGGTCTGAAGCCAGACTGAAAAGGATCCAGATAATCAGTTTCATCCAAGCTGGCTTGGAGTTGTCCCGCCACCACTCACTCCAACACCTTGCCCAGAAACGGGATGTTGGCCACAGGTCTATAGTTAGTGGCCATCTCTGGATCCAGTGACGCTTTCTTCAGGACTGGTCGTATTACCACCTCCTTTAAAGGGGCAGGCACTGGACCCTCCCTCAGAGAAGCGTTAACCACTTCCAAGATCCAGGTCCCAATCCCGTGCTTGGAGTTATTTAGACATTAATCCACAGAATCTGGACATTAATCCACAGAAATTCCAAAGTGGGATTTTCCCCTCCCACTTCCCTTTCCTTGACAGCTGTGGAAAGGCAAGCTGTCAAGGGAATGCAAAGCCACGGTGGACATTTGTTTGTGTAGCGACTTTTTCTCAGCTTCACACTATCTTCTGGGTTCCCCTCCCCTGTGGGTCCCTGCCACTCCGACTTTTCCCAATTCCCATTCCCAAGATGCTGTGCCCAGGAGAGTGAAAATAGTGTAATCTCTGCTTTCCCTTGATATTCTCCTTTGACAGTTACCACAAATGAGGCCTAAAAGGATCTGGGGAGGGGGGCACTTAAGCCGGGCAAAGCAGGGTGGCTCAAAGAAGGAATTATGTGACTTGTTTCTTATGATGAGCTTTCATGCTGTTGGAACCATGTCCATATAAACAACAGAGCACATGAACAGAAAATAAATGGAAGAAGGAAGGGTATAGATTCAGGCGTATTTATTTTGAATAGGGTTTTCCTTAGATTCATTATGCTTATAAAGAGTTCCACCATTCAACCCCATAAATTCTGCTTAATGAAAAATACATACATATAATCCCACGTAAAATCACCCATAATCTTAATTTTAACAAGCAGCATCATAGGAAAGAATCAAGGGGATATTCAGCTCACTACTCAAGGTAGTTTTCTTGTGTGCCGAGGCTAAGTGAAGATGAATGTTCTGTATGGATCCTATAAAGCACAGTCATAAACTCAAGGGCTAGGTAATGATAGTACACAGTTGTACCCGAGAGTAATCATAAGCCTCATTCAATATACAATAATGGGATACTAAATATTTTTCTGCCTGCCACAGATTGAAATAGAATTCTTTCCATTATGGAATATGCTATGCGCATATACAACCAATTCCTTTTTCAAGATGGCAAGTGGTGTAAAAGGGCTGGTTTATCATTACACTAGTTAATCATCTGCTTTAGACTGCCTCCTGCTTAGCAAAACTGAGCCCTTCCAGTTGCCTTTGTGTTGGTTGACTTCTAGTTACATGGTCAAAGGGTGGGAGGTGAAATTCAAAGAAGGGATACCCTTCACTTGCTGCTTGAGGAACACAACCTGATGCATGTTTAAACAGAAAGAAGCGCTGCAACTCCCTGCTGATTTTTTTCCCTGTGCAAACATGCATGGCATTCTGCACTAAAGAACTCTGCTTGAATGAATGGCAGTAATTAGATCTGCACAGCTAAAATGGTGGTTTGTATCTTTTGAAATGAGTCGTGAGTGAACATAGCCCATGCCTCAGCCATTTGCAGTCTTCCAGATGTTCTTGGCCTCAGCTAGCAGGGTCAAAGGCCAGGCATGCCAAGATCCCTTCCGGAAAACACCAGGCTAGAGAAGGCTGTTCCAGCTGCACCACGGAGCCTTCTTCTATCTCTTCCCATCCACCATTCTTTAGGGTAATTTCCCTTATGTTGCAAACAAAGCTCTATGAAAAGCATTCCCTAATTCTTCCTTCCTAAAGGATGGACATGGCTGCCTGTTGTAACAATCCTTATGAGAGAAGGCGGATGCCAGTGTGTTTCTCTGCTATAATCCACAGAGTACAGCAGTAGCAGCAACATTTTGCCATGCCCACTTAAAAGTTTCAGGTGCCGGGGCAACAAAGGCAACCAGTTTCATTCCTAGCTTCAATTTTAATGGCTCTATGAAGTCCATGGATGGAATGCAACATGCTGTTTGCAGGCGTTCCCTTTCCTTTGCTATGCCTTGCTGTCCCTTGGGCCAGCAGGTCTCCTCCAGGGGGACTCCCAATTTTCCAGTGCCAAATGAGGGGGCAGGGGGACTACAGGAGGGAACAGAGTTGCCCTGTTCCATTCTGCGAGTGGGAGCTGTATCATCAATGGCAGCGGATAATTTGGCACCTGCTCATGACTTAATATAGGCTAATTTTCTGGTTTTTGCTTGGCACTTGTGAAGGCCAGCATCCAATGCATGTTTTTGGATGCCTCTCTTTCACTCACAGGATTCTACCCATAGCATTGAAATCTAGTCCAATTGGGATCCAGCCCTTAGTTTCTCTACTTGTTAGCTTCCAAAAATGCAATATCCATGTTTTATTGCTCATATTCAGTACATTTTAAAATAACTGCATATATTTGGGCAGAAGCTATATTAAATAATTAAATAAAGTGGCTTTCATTTTTTTCTGTTAAAAGTACAAGGATGCTTTGTGCTGTTTAGTTTAGAAATAATGTGACTGAGAGGTCACAGGAAAAGATACATATCAAATTATGAAGTAGAGAAAATGGAAATGACACACACACACACACACACACACACACAGCTGTTCATGACACTGTAGCTCAGGGTCACATGATAATGTTGATTGGTACAAGATACAGGGCAGACAAAAGAGTAATCTATTCCACACAATTAACTTGCTATAAGCTTCTTTGGCTTGTACAAGGCAATTAAACAAATTCACGGAAGACAGATCTCTAAAAGTCTATTAGTCATGCCAACTAAATGGAACCTACCAATTCAGCAGTATATTTATAAATACTAAATGTTGGACACAAAAAAGGGTTTTGTGGGGGTGGGGTTGTTCATTCATGACATTTACTTCCAAGCTATTGAATACTAAACATTCATGGGCATGTGAGAAGATGGGCTAATCATTGTCTGTGTTCTGATTTACACTTGTCCACTTAACCTGGTCTGACCATTTTTGCTTGCAGATTATCGCATTATTAGAATGAGCTGAATGATTTCTGGATCCTTTGCTGGATTTGAGACCAATTGTAGGAATAGCATACAAGGTACAAGCTTAAACAGCTTGTATCTTAAACAGCCAAACTAATTCTCAGCACATTTGTAAGCCTTAGCTAGGAGACAGTTAATGGTGGAACTGGTAAAATGAATGGCTCCATGACCCAGCTTGCCCATTTCAGAATTAAACCCAGCAGTTTAACCATGATTCAGAGTGGAACTGCAGTCTTGCAGGCAGCCTGATTTTTATAGGTAGAAAAAGCGGCTGAAGGGCTGCTGAGGTTTGTATTTCGGTACTTTCATTCAAGCAGACAGTTCTTATCAGTGTCAGGTAACTGCATATGTTTCAAAAGAACTTAATTTAAACCATAAACAGCTTGGCTTGAGGTGCTCTGACTTCTTTAGGAATGCTTTTCTGGAGAGTTCCTCCAGCCAGTTACTTCAAGATACATTCCTTAGGGAAACACAAACACAAAACTAGGTAGTTTGGGGGAAAAGTGGGGAGGGGGAGATAATCTATTATATTTCAGCACACTTGCTGCTGAGGTTATATTTCTAAGCATCGGCACAGGATAGGTAAATGCAACTATGTATTTTTTGAAGACGGAGAACTAGCACCAGGCAATTCTCCTGCTTAATGCACATTTTAGCAAATGCACATTGCCTTGGGTAAGTAGGATCATCATTTAGTTCAGGCTATAAATCATTTGTGACAGAGCTGAGCCATTTTGCCAACGGGCTAGAATGAAATCCTATATACACTGATTCAGCCATGGTATTGTGCATGAAAAGCACCCACTACCTGAGGGTATTTTTAATTAGTCAAAATAAAGATTTCAGAAGCCTACTTTAAACTGAAACAAAAGTGTACCTGCGAGATACTGATTTAAAGTAAAGCCTGTTTTGGATCTTGGTATGTTCTCCTCCTCAAAGCTGTTGCTAGCAGAATTAAGCCTAGCTGGGAAGAACTTAATTTAAACCATAAACAGCTTGGCTTGGGGTCCTCTGACTTCATTAGGAATGCCTGCCTGTAGAGTTCCTCCAGCCAGTTATTTCAAGAAACATTTAGTGAAACATTTAGGGATGCTTGGAAATTCTAAGTTACATAATAGGGTTTAATATTCAGTGTGGTATACCACTGGGTGCCTAATATTGTTAGACTGATAGATAATGTAAACGTGTTTGGTTAAATTGTCTTGAAGTCTGCTCCAATGCTGCATCTTTTCATTTGAATCCTGAGGAAAGGTCATAATATTATTCTTTTCTTGTAATGTTGCTACTGCCTTCCCATATCCTACATTTATCCATCCCTCTAGTTCACGGGTCCTCAAACTACAGCACCCACCGCACTGCCTCCGCCCCCACAGGCACCACCTCTCTGGCCCGCACCCAGCACCGGCACCTTTCAACTGGCCCCCTGGTGAAAAAGTTTGAGGACCCCTGTTCTAGTTGAACTATATCATTAAAAAATCATATTTATTTCTTTTTATGCAATCATATTTAAACAACTCTTAGGTGTTAAAGCACATCTTTATTTCTCAAGCACCAGGCAATTAATAGAAAATGTTGCTTTTTTCAATAATAAAAAATACACCTGTTACAAGGCTTTTTAAATTTTCTATGCAACATTGCTTTCATTAACAGATTTGGCTTTTTGAATTCATTCAAGCAGATTCTTCACAGTCACAACCTCACAGTATTAGAATTCAAGTCTCCTAATATTCTCCCCGCCCCATGATGGCTGGCAGGGAGTTAAGATACTATTTTGGTGCCTCTGTTGGTTTCTACCAGTGGAAAGAAATGCAGCCCCCAAATGGAGTGACTTCTGCTATGAGCATCAAGAGGCAAATGTTTAAAGTCTTGCTACAAGGAAAAAAGCCGCTTCAACCTCGTCTTGGACTGGCAGTAGCTGCCTGGACTGTGGGCCATTTTGCCCCCAGGTTCCACCAGTCACACTCAGGCTTGTTCTGTTCAATGCTGAGTCTCCCCATTCTCAAAAATAGTTAAAATAGAAAGGAAAGAATGTATAAAACCATTCCAGCACCAGATAGTATTTTATGCTAAAAATAAGGAAATAAATGGCATAAATGTTTATATCCTAAGACCAGACACTGAGGACACCTTCTGGGTAAACATCACATCAGTTTATTTCAACTTCTGCAAACACTCCATCTTTATATTTTATTAGCAGCCTTGTTTTCTGGCAGGTTGCTGAGATTGGATTTTCACTGTGACCGATTCTTTGATCTAATAAAGGATCTTCTGGACAGCCATGCTTTTGTGAAGGTGTGGCTAATAAATTTTAATTTGGAAACATTGACTCCACATGAACTTCCAAGTTTCTTACTGCTGCAAAAACTATGCTTATGATTATTTCAGCCATGGAATGAAGTCACGCAACTCCCAGCAACAATGGCAGGAAGAAAAGGACGTCTACAACAAATCATCTTTGTAATTCCAATGAAACCAGATGGCTGAGAAGCAAATTCAATTCAGCTTTATACCAGGTACAGCAGTACATGAAATGTTGCAATCAGCAGACCAGATATATAGTGCATGCTGTGACTTAGTAGTTACATGGGTACACTGTTAAGCATATACCTAAATAAAATAGTAACTGTATCAAAGGTGTGTATTTTTTTAGGAGAAATTTGGTTCTGAAATGTACAGTGAGTTTGCATTAACTTGAGTTGGGTTAGAGGATACATGTGTGCACACAGTTTACAGCATTAAACAAAATGAAAGTCAAATATTAATTGTTTCAATTAATATTTGAAACAATTGAGTCAGTTTTTGATCACTGAAGGCTTCCTTGTTCACATTTCAATGGCATTCACACTTTCACAGCACTTAGAGCTAAGCTTTCTGATCGATTGTACTTTGACAGGGAACCAGATGTACAGAGACACTCCGTTTTGTTGAGGTATTTTATATTTGCAAAGAAATAATAAAGATGCACTCCCTTTTACATTTACATCTCTCTCTCTCTATACACACACACACACACATATTCTCATAAAATAAAATATTGGATAAAATAAACTCTTCATTCAAAAAGTCATATAAGAGCTACCATAAAAAGTATCATTTACAAAGCAATGCAAGAAGGCCTTTGTCTTTGCAGCAGCAGCAAGTGAAGTGCATATTGCTGTTGACCAGTTGTAGGTAAAGGGTTCAATTCATATAAAAAAGGCACAGTTTTTATAGTGTAACTGCTTTCTAAACTGGCAGATTCAAAGATATGTAAAGCTAAAGTGTGAAAATATATCAGTGCAGTATTTTTATTCCTGAGTCTCAAAAGAGATTAATAAAACCTGAAACCAAACTAAAAGTTTAGTCCTTTAGAACCATATACTCTTTCATGTGTTTTATTATTGTCTCTGTTCTTTAATAGCATAAAGCCTCATTATGAAACTATAAAAATATAATTTCCACAGGAAGTAAACAAAAATGCAATGCATCTATACTGAGAATTAGAAGATATTGCTGAAACTGACAGAAGCATGCAGAAAGAGAAAGGGAAAGGCATGTTCAGCTGAGATACTGTATATTGCCCAGTGGTCCTTTACCACCATAGTACTGAGAATAATCTACATAACAGATGTACAGCTATGTGCACTAAAATGTGTTCAGTAATTACATTGCATTTTAGAAATAAAAACTTATTTTCTTAAGCTAAGCAAAACTAAACTTCAATGAACCTCCATCTGGTATTGAATTCATTACTAGCAAAGGCATTAAGCACTAAACATCCAAACAAGAATCTGCGTAGAAAATGGTTTCTTCAATGTGAAGCGTAACCAGGACTCCACAGCTTGGTAGGAGAGCCATTCTCATGGCTTGCAGATATAGAACTGAAAGAAGTTGCAGATGACGTGGGAAACCCGACACCTGTAGGGAAACAGCATAATGAGTACCCATAACACACACACATACACAAATGAGAACGATGTTGTCAGTTTGTAAATTGGTTTTGCATTAAGGCTTTTACTGAGGTTGTACAGAACAGGTTCAGGATGTACAGGCTATTTAAGTGCTTAAGAAGTATGTTCTATCTGACCACTTGCGGAAAAGCCAGTTGTTCCTAATTCAGGACATGACCATGTATTTTTGATGCATATTTCCTCCCTATTCTGAAGCAAACTGTGCATAATAAAAGAGTAAAATTTGAGAGATTTCAGTGCCTGGAAGTATAGTCCTGCCAGCTGGTTCAAGGTCATCCTCCCTGAGTAAAACACCTTCCTTAGATGGAATATTGTTTGTTTGTTTGACAGCTTATAAAAAATGAATAGAGTAAAACAAACACCATAGGATCTGATTATTAATATACTAAAACCTCAGTTAAAATCAATTAAACACTAACATAACAGGAAAAATAAAAAGGGGGTTGCCTGATGCCAAAATGTAACATTGGCAGCAGGCAAACCTCTCTGAGGAGCATCTTCCATAGTCGGGGTGCCACCTCTGGGTAATCACCTCCTAATCTCCTTCAGCGAGGGTTCCCAGAGCAGGACCCCCACCTCAGATCTCAAGGGGTGGGAGGGCACACAGGGAAGAAGGCGTTCTTTCAGGTATTCTGGACCCAAGCCGTTTAGGGCTATAGGTCATCACCAACACCTTAAATTGGGCCTGAACTTCAATTGGCAGCCAGTGTAACCAATAGAGGACTGGAGTGCAACCCCATCCAGGACACAGCCAAAATCACTTACCTGAAAGGCTGGACCACCCACCAACAGGACCTCCATCTTGTCTGGATTAAGCCTCAATGTATTGGCCCTCATCCTGCCCTTTCCCTCAGCCAGGCACTGGTTAAGGACGGCCACTGCCTCACCTGGACTAGATGTAAAAGAGAGGTAGACCAGGGTGTCATCAGCATACTGATGACTCCACAGCCCAAACCTCCAGATGACATCTCCCAGCAGTTTCATGTAGATGTGAAAAAGCATGGGGGATAAAATGGATGTCTGAGGAACTCAATGGCAAAGTTGCCATGCCGCAGAGCCATAATCCCCCAGCAGCACCTTCTGGAATTGGCCAAACAGGTAGGAGTGGAACTATGGCAAAACAGTACCACTAACTCCCAACCCGACCAGCCTATCCAGAAGGATATCATGATTGGTGGTATTGAAAGCCGCTGAGAGGTCCAGGAGAACCAACAGGGACGCACTCCCCCTGTCCTTCTCCCTGCACAGGTCATCGTACAGGGCGACCAAGGCAGTTTCACTTCCATAGCCAGGTCTGAAGCCAGACTGAAATGGGTCTAAATGGTCAGTTTTCTCCAAGAGCTCCTGAAGTTGTCCTGCCACCACCTGCTGGAGTACCTTGCCCAAAAATGGGATATTGACCACCGGCCTATGGTTGGTGGCCATCTCTGGGTCCAGAGACACCCTCTTCAGGACAGGCTTGATCATATCCTCCTTCAAAGGGACGGGGACCTGGCTCTCCCTCAGAGAGGTGTTGATGACCTCCCAGACCCAGGTGCTTATCCCATTTTTGGCTTTGATGAGCAGCCACAAGCGGCAAGAGTCAAGTAAACAGGTGGTGGGCTAGACCAATCCAAGCACTTTGTCCATATTCTCAGGCAACAACAATTGTAACTATTGAATTACAATATTTAAGCTATATAATTGATGTTAAATGGTTAACATCTGCTTACGTTGTCTGTGCTGAGGACTTGTCCTTGCGATAAAAGCTGGATGAGTTTGATGTTCCTTTGGTGAGAAAATAGCATAGTGTACTGAAAGATATATGGAACAAAAGAAAGCATGGGTGGTTATTCAAATTCACACTTAAACATGGTGAAAAAATTAGCAGATCAATATTTGGCTCTCTTACCTATTATCATAACAGCCATCCCTGCCACCAGGGCAAACAGAGTGAAAAATATGGCTTGATAGGAATCAAAGAAATGATGGAATAAACTTGCTTCATCTGAGATAGAAAGAAAAGTTGCAGTACATTAAATAGTGCTTAAGAAGTAATGAAACTACCTAAACGGCTGTGAATGCAACAGGGGTCTTTCCTTACATTTTCATATTTGTTAGCCAAGATTTATTTAGCCAACTACATATGCATTTAAACAGCACGGCTGCACTTGAATAAGATAGAAATTCTTAAAATAACATTTGGAATATGGGAATAGTTCAAATATATACTGAAATGTCAACACAAATTGCTTCCAAGGCCCCCAAACACTAACCTCTATTGGAAATGTTACTCCAAAGGCACAAAGAAAAGAAAAGCTTTGCAGCATTACTGATGGTATTGAAATACTGAAAATGCTAGGCCAACACACCAGACATACATTTGTAGATAATACTTAGAAGAGAATATCAGAAGTTTCCTTGCATAATATTGACAAAAGGGGAAGTACCCCAAAATTAGGCAGAGAGAAAGAGAGAGAAACTTACGTCTCATTGATAGAGCTTTGTCAGATACATAAATCATCGTCACTGGGATAGCAATAGACTGGTCAGTTACTGCACTGGATATAGTGAGTGTAGTCGATAAAGGCCCTTTGCTTGTGAGCCTTGGGTCCGATAAGCTCACAGTATATGTGACATAGCTAGGCAAGCCATAGGATCTTTCCTTCTCAAAGGTCACCACCAAAGGTGAGCCAGATTTCACCTGTAAGAGAAAATGCATCATTGGTTTTCCTTTCTGAACATCTGGAGCAGTGATTGAAGAAAACTAGTGAAACTTCTCTGGGTTCTCTTAGAGCTGGATGAGTCCTCTGTTTGAGACCTAATCAAATAAGAGAAATCTACGGGTCATTTCAGTGTAATTTTCCTGCCCTGTGTCGATGCCTCGTCCTGATGCAAGCCCTGGTCCTGCGTCATACTCACTACCTGCTCAGGATAATCTCATGCCAAGCTTGACTGTGTCTTTTTTTCTTTTAAAATAGTGTCCTGATTTACGGTGATCAACATATTTAGTAGGATAGTATGTGGAACATCTTCATCATTACTCTGCTTCTTTTGATATTTCCAAAACATTGTGATACTATCATCTACCATTGTTTTGCCCCTTATTCGTTCAAGTCTCCTCTCAACTGCAACTTTTCTATATACACAGATGGTAATTTCTGCAACACGCAAGGGACTGAATTAAATCTTTCCTTTAGGAACTGCTTATATGTTACTTTAAACCCACGGACATGTTCACATACAGTGTCACTTTAATTAATTTGACTTCTGTTTTGATTAACTTAGTAAAAGAACAATTTGAACTTGGATTTGAAGTGCGTGGCCTAAAATTGTCCAATTACCTATAATTAAACATCATATCCAGATGAATGCCTAAACCCATCTAATGAATGACTTCTTGGATACTGTTTAAGTGTCCTCTGTGGGAAACAAAATACAACTTAAGGTATTTGATAGGTTACATTAAACTCTATGCACAAAGACCGCAAGTATTATAGTGATATTGCTCTGTATTTTTTGTTCTTGATCTTGGTTGGAATCTAGTTTGCTTTAATTCTTTTAGATGCAGCTCACTTTTCATATTCATTAGAGCACTGTGCACAGTATCCGTGCTAGCACATAGCAACACTAGCTGTCCAGTTAATATTGCATAATTGTCATGACTTACATCCAGGTTTTGGAGAATTTCAATGGCTCCAAAGATTTTCACATCAGAACTTGGGGAATGGCCACTGAGAATGATTTCTGACTGATTAGCATAAAATCCCGGATTAAATGGCACTTCAGTACTGATCTGTTCTGCAGAGAATTGGTTGCCCTGGAATGAAGCTGTTAGCATGGCAGCAGTTTTACTCATGCTTAGCTGCGTGAGTTGCTTGTCATCCAGTTTCTGCATTCTGATGGAACAAAAGTAGTGTCCTAAAAAAGAGAATTTGAACATTAATAGAGACCTTCTCAGTCTTCTATATTACATAACTGCTGAGTGTTCTGAATGCTTACTCTAAGTGTGCTTACCTAGAAGAATACCCTGCTGGCGTCAATAGAAAAATCAATTCCAATGGAAATAATGTCGAACTTAGGAGAATATCCAATACTGCTGCCATATCTCTGCTCTTTGAGATGTGCAAGTGGCACCTATTGCTAGTGTAAGATGAAGCTAAGATTCAAAATGAGCCAAAATGCTCATTTCCTGACAGGGGCACATCAGGAGAGGCAGCAGAAAAGAGTCCACTGGCTGGTTCCATTCTGGAAATGCACATTTTGGCTCATTTTCAGTTGTTTTAAGAAGTGCTTGTGGTGGGTTCTGCTGGTTATGTGGGCAGAAATGGATACCCCCTTGACAGGAGCCAAATTCCATAGGCATTCCAAAGCTGTGCTTTTACATTTGAAGTGCCTTGAAGAAAGAACTTTTCCACATGCAACTTTTTTCACTGTCTGAAATGCTAAGACGCAAGGGTGCTGGCTGATATTGGAAATCAATGCTGCTACCACCTGCTGTGTTATCTTCATTTAACACTACAATTCTAGCCAATCATCTTCATCATTCAGTGTGTCTGACACACTTGTATCTTTATATCCCAGGTTGCTCATTATTACTTTATTACTTATCCACCGGATTATTATTTTTGCTCCCACAGCTCATTACTCAGAATTACATTAAGAGGATAAATAACATAATCTCAAAACATGCACTGAGGACTGAAGGACTGTTTGTGAGATTCTCATTTACTCTTCACATCAAAAATAAAATACAGCCTCCAAAAATGCGTGTAAACATGATTACATGTAGAAATGTTAATATCAAATTTCTGGAAAGAGTCTGAGTTTCAGCATAAAATGTATCTAGTTCAGTTGCTTTTCTAGATATGGAAATGGCCAGTTTTAGTGCTAATGGTTTTAAGTTATGTCAGTGGTAGACAAACAGATTGGACATGTGAATGCATTTGTCAATTTAAGAAACTTTCATGGGTACCTTGACAAAACAGCTGTAACAGAATATATATACTTTTCCCACGAGACTGAGTTGAAGGCAGATGTGGTGTTTAAGTCTCAACACACTAAACCACACCACAAAGCTGCCATTTTCAGGGCTAACAGAATTCTAGCGAATCTTACAAAGAATATTTTTTAAATCTCATGTGGAGAATAAGTGACAGGCAGCACAGTTTGGTGCAGCACAGTTTGGTGTAGCCTCCCAGAAGTGTCCAAACTTGGAGAAGAACAAGAATACTCTCAAGGGCAGAAGAACCAGAGAAGTCTGAAGGTTATTTCTGCACTTCTCCTGCCCTATAAAAGACTTAGATGGCTGATTTCAGTCACAGTAGCCTTTTGCCCAAAGCATGATGAGCACAGGCTGAGCGATCACCAGGATACTACATAGCATGGTGGAGCCACATTTTTCCCTTTCCTGCCTCCCAGAACACCCACGAACATCGGGTTCCAAACATAGCCTTCCAGCCACAGAACTGCTGCTAGTGCGGTTCTTTCTACAACAGCAGCAAGGACAGAGGGAGGGGACTCCGACCTTTCTTATGGGTATCTAGACTCTGCTTAGCAGCTATAGCTTCTCATGCTGAGCTGCTGAGTTTCTCGTTTCATTCCTTCACCCTGAGAGAAAATACATTTTATACCAGCAGAGCAAACTGTCCTCTGCAGATATCCATGTAGCATTTGCCTTCAGTGAAAAAGAATTAAAGCTGGAGGTGTGCAAATCAGCAAAACTCTAGCTTACTGATATTCTTCAAACTATTTGTCAAAATCTTTACCATAATGCAAACATTTGTTGTGCATACTTTCAAAACGTACACAATATCCTCCTGTTGTTTAAAATAAGTTTGTGTGCATTTTTCAAAGTGTGCATTTTGATTGACTGTTGGTCAGATGCAGCAGGGGGGTTTTTAGGTTCTTATGTTTGAGTGATAAGATGGCGAGGACAGAGGTGAGGAGTTCATTCCTGCTCCAGGTTAAGCGGAGGCCTCAGGCAGACCATCCAAGGGAACGGGGTGTTCAGTGAGATCAGTCCCTGGCCTGATCTGTTCCGGCAGCAGAACTGACATGTTTGCTTGTCCACAATGCAAGACAGGTCTGTTGTCAGACAGAGGAGAGGAACTAGGTGGATAGAAGGTCCCCCTCAGAGTATCCGATGACAGAACTACCCCCAAAAGTTTGGAGTTTGACAGGCAGAAGACAGTTAAGAGAGGCAAGAGCCAGTTACATCTGGGTCGGTTACAATACTTGGGCTTAGTAGGAGAGTAGGATCAAAAGAGTATGCTAAAAATAATGCAACCAGTTTGAGGAAGAATAAAAGGGAACGTATGGCTTACTTTTACAATGCATCTATTGGGAAAAGGGAAATGTGGATTTACTGTTCTGGACTTCATATTTCTCTTCATAAAATTCTCAAGACCATGGTTATTCAAAATAAGAGTTGAACACTTACTACAGTTTGGACATTTAATACAGTTTGGACCTTTTTCTTACCTGAAGCTGTATCAAATCCTGGTTCTGCTGTAAAAATTTCAGAGGCTGAGAAATCAAATACATTGTTGCTGAAATGAAGTTGGCAACTCATACTAGACTGAGGTCTCATTTCTTCAATAACTTCGATTTGGGCAGGTGAACATTCTCCTAAAGACAATTGGATAAAGAAGTTGAGATATCATAGGAACAAGAATCTGTCTGAGGATTAGCTTTGGTACAGAAACAAAACCCAAAGCCACAATCATATCAAACTGCAATCTTAAGCATTTAAAAGAAAAGCTGTTGAATAGAGCAGAAAGGCTTGTGCAGATGGCTTTTCTCACCTATGACTTGAAAGCATTTAACATTGAAGGCTTTACAACAATAATTATTGGGGATGAATGAGGTATAAAGTGTTGCTAAGTGAAGGGTCATATTGAGCTACATGTAATTTCACTTCATTTAAACTTTGAATCAAGGCCCTGTAACCCAGTATGTCTGGCATACTATGGAAGTCTCACTAATGTGTTTTCCAGAGGATGTCAAGAAGATAAATTGTGTCATTTATTACTGGATTGAAATGGGGCATTAGTTTCCTTGGAAATTTATTCAATGCATCAGAAACTGCTGAGTGTCCTGCACTGCATTGTTAAAATCTACTTGCTTATTAATCATTAAATAATTGTTGTGGCATAGAAGCTATTATTGATGCCACAATTTGAAACTCTCCTGTTGATCATTTTAAGACAGGCAAGTTCTCAACAATAATAAAGTGATATAAAGCGAAGGGGCTGAGTGGTCAAGAGCCCAGCATATCAAACGGAAAATGTTCTTCTGTGGTGGAAAGAATGGGTGACCATGCTCCTCTCCTCTGAACCTGTGCTTACCTGCAAGCACAGGTAAGCTGGGGCATCTACATACAAGCCTGGACATGTATATTCATTAACTGTATGATCCTCTCATCCCCTTTAATGAAGCAGCATGCAAATTGGGCTTCTACTTAAGTGACTGAGTGTGTCAGAGCACTCCAACTGGTTTTTAGACCTTACCTCTTGCTTTCCAAATGGCTTGCAACATTTAGACTGCAATCCTATGCACACTCAGCTGGAGGAGGGGGATCCCCTCTGAATTCAGTGGGACGTACTCTGAGTAGACATGCATTTCAATCCAATATTGTGTGAACACTTCCTACAACAAGGATTTTGCATGTTCCCCTCAGTAGACCACACTGCAGCAAATTTGGAAAGAGCCTCATGCAGAGGCAAACTGTTCCAGCAGCCATTTCTGATCTGCCGGCAGGGAGCGGGAGTGGATGGTCCTCCTCTGTAGGACTGTGCAGTAAACGATCCTGAGGGGATTGTGGAATGGGTGAAATGCATCCCTGGACTTGGGGTGGAATAAAATGTGGGATGCTGTGCTCTTCACAAAAAGCATGTGGTCCACCAAAGCTTACTTGTCTTTACTGCTCTAATTCAATGAAAGATGTTTATTTGCTAAAATGATGCTTTTCAAAATATCCATATTTAAACTGAATATGCTGTACATAGATGACTTTTGTGTAATATTTCCAGAAAAAATGTTACATAGTGAAACTTTCAGAAACAGAAAGAAGATTAATAAACACACCTTTCATATTTTTGCTTCCATCCCCAATTTTAACTAAAACTTTTGAAGTCAAAGCATCCTGCATACTCATCTTCATTCCACTTCCATCAATTGCCACAATGATTTGAGGTACATTAATTGATACCTTAAAGTAAAAAGAAGAAATCTGTTACTGAGAGTTGCAGTCTTATGCACATTTACTCTGATGCAATTCCCATAAAGCCAAACCAAACTTATTTATTTATTTATTTAAAACATTTTTATGCCACCCCCTTCGCAAAAAGCTTTGGGGTGGCTTACAAAGCAACAAACTTTTATCTATTAATAATTTTTGAAGATACAGGTACAGAAAGATATGTACTTTCAGTGTAAAACTGTAGAGCAATTTAAATTTAAACTGCGTTTCACCCAAAGCAGAGCATTTAACTTAAAGCTGTGTAAAGTTTAGAAGTAAAGTTTGTCGCATAAGGATAGTTCTTTTTAAAAGCTAAGAAAAGCTATATTTGGTGGCAGGAGGTAACTTCCCTATTGCACCTGTGGCTTCGCGACATGCATTGCTTGCACAACAGGGCTTGGGTGCTCTTAAAAATATCTCCAAATGAGCACAAAAATGCTCGTGTCTAGCACGGGGCAGGTCGGCAGAGTTTGCAGAAGGGAAGCTCTGCTGACTTGTTCTGATCCAGAAATGAGTGTTTCCATTCTTTTCTGGGGTCATTTTCAGAAGCATGGAAGCCCTGTTGTGCTTGAGCTGGGTCCCACGAATGCAGTGAACTCAGTAGTAGTGAACTAACTCTATTGGACACTGCTCATGGTTTCTTCTGAAATAATGATGGGTACAATCAGGAACGCAGAAGACTTTTTAAAAGAGGCTTTCCTAAATGCAAAATGACATTTGGTTTGTGTGTCAACAGTCTCTCTAATTCGCGAGAGCCCAGATCCAAACACAGCGCTTGTTGAGTGGGAAGGGAAGCCAGAGTGTAAGAGGCCATGTACCTTTCATGAATTCTGGGCAAGAGCAGGCAGGGTGCCTGAGGGGAACCCAGTGATCTGAGCCCACCAGGTTGACCCGCAGCTCAAGCATGGAAGCTGTATACATGAAAGATAAAAGTGGCTAAAAATCTGTTAAACCCACTACTGTTTCCGCTAAGGTTGGGCAGCACGGTATGCTGCAGCATGTATCTTATGAAAAATGTTGTAGGAACACACAGTTGTGCAGAACAGGGACGAGGGACTGATGGCCCTCCATGGATTGTTGGACTCTGAGATAACCGACGCTGAATGGTTGGTGATGATGCAAGCTGGGATCTGTAGGGCCAAAGGCTTTACACGCTGGTCTAGAATTATTTAAAGAGATGGAGACAGGCTATTTTAAAGTGTTCTCACATCAAATCTTAAGTTACTTTTTGACCTTGGAGAACATTGCAAAGAGGTCTGGGGGCACTGAAGAGGAAGCTGATGAAAAGGGTATGTATGGACAGTTCCTTCTTGTTCACAGCTAGATTCATTCAGAATATCAGCAGCACAACTAGAACTCAAAAGGGTCATACCTCCTGATACGTCTTAAATAGTCCAGGAATCTCATAATATATTGTAACAGTTCCAGAATTCCTTGCTACAGCTACTCCTGTCTTTGAATCAATCTGAAGAACACTGTTTAAAGAAGAACTCCATGTTCCTGTCATACCTATGAAAAAAGAGATTTGTGGGAAAAAATAGTTTGTGATTATCAACCTCAATACATTTTTCCATCTTTATGCAAGGAATACATATATTGCATAAGCTGAAAAATTAATTTTAAGTCATATTTATAAGCTACGCCTTTTACAAATCAGACAAATATGCAGCAATTTTTTTTACAATCACTTTTTTACATACAGTTTTTACATACAATCACTCTAAAAAACTTTGTAAACAGAGGCAGATATCCTTCTAACAATGCACAAGGAAGTAGCAATATCCAAGAAGGACTGAAAGTTCCAATCCTGTTCACTTGCTTACTGTTTTATTGCTGTAATGTGTAAAAGAGATCAGTTTACCCTAAGCTTCCCTGCTAGGTGTTCTAACACCTCATAGAAAGAGTAATAATTGACTAAAAGCATCCACAGCAAAGCAGCTTCAAACTCCATTTTAAAGCCACTGCCGCTACTCAGACAGGAAGCAGGCAGATGGACTGGCTCCTGCCCCAAACAATGCGAAGAGCCCCTTCTGAGGCAGCTTCAGGCTGCCCTGCTCATGAGAGCTGTGACCATGCACACTGCTCTATACTGGGCAACACACTTTGCTCCCCCCAAAAACTTCTGTGCGCACGAAGAAAAATGCACCTCCTGTGTGGTGAGCTGCTGTACACAAATGACTTACTTTCTCATGCTAGTGAGCCTGCTAAACTGAGGAGCCGTTCATCAACTGAAGCACCCTCAGTCCAATTCTGCCACTGATTTGAGAAGGGGCATTCAGGATGGACCAACCAGAGCGGAGCAAGAGGGCCACATGAAGCAGAACTGGTGTGAGAGGTAGGCATATGCCCAGGCTTTCCACCCCTTCTGGCAAGAGCCCCTGGAGTGGCTCCTTTCACAGAATCACAGAATAGCAGAGTTGGAAGGGCCCATGAAGGCCATCAAGTCCAAGCTGTTGCAGAACACCGAGTCACCCCACCCCACTCAGATCCTTTGGTTCAATGCAATCTGGCTGTCCACTGGCTTCTTCCTTCAGCCAGACAATGGGAGTGGTGGGAGGCCAAGCAGTAGACGCCGCGGTCTACTTGCCGCTGACTGTCAGGCAGGCAAACAGCAGCAGTGATGGCTTGGGAAGCAGTGGGCAACAGACAGCTAGCCATGCGAATGTGCCTCATGTACCGCACATGCATGCCCTCTCTTAGTTCTGGCACTGTTCTGTATGTCTCAGGAGGCTCCCGCATCATCCGTACACTGGCTGAGGTTGGACTACTGCTAACCAGGCCTAGGAACAGCTGCATGGTGTGCCTGCTAGGCCAGCCACCTGCAGCAACATGCCCACACCATCAGCTGCACCACACAAGCCTTAACCATCCCCTCAGGCCTGGGATATCAACTCTATAAAAATCTATTGAAATTCATATAAAACACGGATGGCTTTCTGTCAAGATTCCTTCAAATCACACAATCTGCCTCATGACCTACTTAAAGTCAAAAAGTGGTCACTCCTCTTTTGCATACATGTGGCAAAATGTAACAATATAAAATACCATTGTTTTAAAGATCAACAGAAATGACAGCAAGTCAGAGCAAGTGACACACTATTTTAATATAATTAAATGCAGAGGAGTGCATTACGTCTGTTCATCCCATTAGCAAGAATAAGGACTGACATTTGATCGTGAACAACATAATGAATAATGTATCTGGTTGTTTTAAAGATGTGCTGCACAAACAAGTGTACATGGTTTCCATGGAAATTTAGCATTGTTGGCAACTCCTTTATGTCTCATTAATGTCAATTATTCTTAAACGATTCCTTACCTTCTTGGTTCACCAGTGATGAAGTTAAGCAAATGACATCACCTACAGTAATTGCTCCTAGCTCAGGGTAGATGGCATGTTGCACTGGAAGTGGCACATAATCTGCAATATTGCTGTGCTCTAGATCCCAAACCTTGAGCAAACTGAGGCCTACATTCATTGTTCGTATTGTTAATGTGTTGTTGGACACTCCTTTCGCAATCTGTACAAAATCATCTCTGAAGACAGAAATAATAAACGTTCGTGGTAACAAAGCAGATAGAACATGTTATTACATCTCTGGAAGTCACCGGTTCAGGAATGTCAAAAGAAAGCAGGTGAAGATGCCCATATCTTCATGCTACAGACATGTTAGCCACTAGAGATTGCGAATAGGCAAATCTTTTGGACAGTTTTGTAACAGTTCCTCAGGCAGAACTTCTAATAAAACATTGCTTCCAAGTAAATATACATAGGATCTGATTTGAGTGACTTATAAATAGATGTAACCAGTCAACCATGGCCATTTATAAATGACTAGTATCTAAACCTATGCATATTTACTTATTGATTAGGTAGAAACTAATGGAATTTATTCTAAGCCCACATGTTTAAGAATATCATGGCATTCAAATGTGGGATACAAATGGTTTCCAGGAATTGACCTGATCTGAGTAGATTACATTGTTTTAGAACTTTTAAAGCAGAGAAGTTAAGTAATATTTTCCTGCTTTCTATTATTTATTGATTTATATATTATATCTCTACCCTGCCTTTTTTCTTTCCAAGGAATTCATGGTGGCTTACAAAATTCTCCTCCACTCAATCCTCACAACAACTCTGTGAGACAATCTGAGCTGAGAGTCTGTGACTGGCTCAAAGTCACCCAGTTGGCTCCATGGCCAAGTGGGGACTAGAATCTGGATCACTGGATTGCCAATCCTGCCCCTTAACCACTACACTATGCTGGCTCTCATGCACTATGCATAATTCAGGCATTGCCAGCCAGGCCTAGGAGTGATTGCATGAGAAAACTGTACTGCACAATTTTTTCAGGCCAGCAATCTGCAGGTCCACTCCAATATCACCAGAACACCATCCTTAAACAAACGTTTCTTAATCAGGTACTTGGCTGTATATAAACAGCTGCCCCATTGGAGACATCAGTTAATATCAACAGTGCTTTACCTGACACAGACACTAATTTGTAATTCCTGTAAAACTGCTCCCCTAGAATTGACAATTACCTGTTGGTTGCAAAGCCAAGCATGGAATTTTGTGAATGAAAAGTATCTCCAAAGTTGTCATGGAAGTGGATGGTCAAGGTGAAGGTCATGCCCAATGGTAATGTCATCAATACCTCATGGTTGTGTTTGTGGAAAATTGGTAGCATGGATATTCTCAGGTAGGAAATAGGAGCCACCTATGTGATACGATCAGCAGAAAAACTGAGATGACGTATTTTCAAAGGGTATGCCCAAGAAGTCAATCTTTTATCCTGACACCTTATTTCATTATTAATAAAAATGTTTATGATCTTTGCCCTGCACTAATAAACACATTCAGAATTGAGAACATTTTGAACATCGCATATCTACATATTAGGCAAGTCTATGTGAAATATAGGCTGGATCAGGACCAGCCCAAGATTGTTTTTAAATTGAGGCACAGCAGCAAAATGTATGTTCTATTAAATGTTTATAAAATCAGATACGTTGTAATTATTTGTGAGTGTTTTTATAAACCTATTTATTAGATTTTTATCCTGCCCCATAGTCCGATATGGCTGTCTGGGTGGGTTAAAAATACAACATGTATTGTATTTTTATTAGAATGGGGTCGAAACCAACAATGCATTGAAAAGATTTCTATTTCACTGTTCCACAGAACTTCTAGGTCAGTTTATTATTAAACTGAAGCTGCCAGGACAATTCAAAACATTTAATTCACCCATCCAGATTTCAACCAGGCCCAACCCTGCTTAGCTTCCAAGATTAGGCAGAATCAGGCACTTCAGAAGCTGTGTGGATTTTTATAAAAACAAGATAAAACAGAAATGGCACCCAAAAGGTTACAAGCTTCTCTGTAGAGTGACCTACACCTACATTGTGCCATCTCTGAAAGGTTCTCTCTGATTACCAGATGGCAGACATGGGAGGCCCCTGACGGTGATCTCAAGTCACAAGATTGGTACGTGCAAAAATGTGCCTTCAGTTTTTGACATTTAAACTAACTAGGCCTTTGACAGAAAGCACCAGCTGAAAGTAAGTGAACCTGTCGAAGTCCACAGTAAAGTTGATTCAATACTGGAAAGAATGTTTCTACAGACTTATACCAGTCAATAGCCCCCTTCCCTGTACACTGGATTACAATAATCCATCTTGGAAATTACCAAGCATGGTCAACTGGACCGGGAAAGCCAGACCATATCGCTCCAGAAGAGACTGTCACCGTCAGGCCAGCTTAAGATAGTGGCACCTGCTGCCACTGAGGCTACCTGGGCTTGCAGTGACAACACCAGATGCAACTGCATCTCATTCTTCTGGTGATAAATTCAGTCCTTCAAGGGTTGGGTGACTGTATCTAGAACAGGTTGGGTACCAGCTCCCTGAATGAACAAACCAGCTATCTGCAGAAAGTCCATCTTGTCTCATCAAGACTGAGCTTCATCTGCTTCATCTTCATACAACTTGTGGCACACCTACTTGAATGAAGTCTAGAGCAAGCTCAGAAGGTCCCTGCAGTGCTGCTTCACTGACATTGTAAACACAGGTCGGACATCAAGCCCTCGGGTTGCTACAATTTATGGCTGGAAGGCTGCATTATGTTTGGTGAGTCACAAATTGTATGGGCTTGTCCCATGCTTCATCCATTTAGGGATGCTTGCTCCAGATACAGTTTAGTTTCCTTAGCTGCTACCTCTAAGCCGCCTAAATGGAAGTGTCTATTACATCAATGAGTTTGCAAACAGTTATGAGATTTTTCATTTATTAACAAAGCAAACTTTTTAAATGGAGAAACATTTTTTTAGTACTGCTTTGAAAAATAAATGATGGAAACCTTTAAAAAAAACCCCATTCCCACACTTCCGTAAGAGCCTTATGCTCCACGCCTGCTATTAACAGGCTCCTTTCTCTTTTTCTTTCCTGTTAGCCTTTGATCAAGTTTTATATTTTGTTGCAAAATGTGCATGTACTCTAAAAGGAATGGATGTGGCTTGGCCTGCAGCAAACAGCCAAACAGTAAAAAGTGTCCCCCAAAATTGGTTTATATAGAGGTCTTTTGTATTAGTCAATATTACAGTACCAGTACATCTCTCTTTGGACTTGCACAGCTAGTAAAACTGTTTTCAGGTTGGTTTTATGTTTAATTCTCCTGAGTGATAAATCTAATATTCCTGTGTGTTATTTTTAAAAATATCCAGACTTTGGACCATTTTCAACAGCAGTAGAGCGGAACTACAAAACATATTTAGTTCTCACTCTGTATTACTTCTAAATTTTACTCGGTTATTGTTTTCCAAACTTTATATCTTGGAGAAAAGGGAATATTTTATTCTTTGTTCCAAAATAGACATGCAAGAATAATAATTTCCACCCAGTGCAACTGGAATATAAGATCTTTACCAACTGGCAAAGGACATCTGAGCCTTAATGAGCAGGGTGCCCTGCAACACCGTTAATTCCTGACACATTAATCAGGAATTACAGTTCTCTAAACTTCTCACTATCTAGTGTTCTAGATACTGGGTTGTTTCCCTTTCTATCCACCCGAGGCAGATTCAACCCACCTGGGTTGTTTCCCTTTCTAGCCACCTGAGGCAGATTCAACCCACCTGGGTTTTTCCCTTTCTATCCACCTGAGGAATTAGAGTATATCAGAACTAGGCTACAGGGGGTGTCAAAGGACAACCAGGAACCAACAACCAGGAGGCGATACTTGAGCCAGAGAGTCTGAACCAAAGCAACATGTGAATGCAGATCAGAAGATGAGACTGAACAGGAAAGGTCCTAGTCCAAATAGGAATCCTGCTGTACCTCCTGTCATCATGTCCAGGAAGCCACAGTAGGAAGTGAGCCTGAAAGAAGCCCAGGGTCTGCCTTACTGCCCAGGCACATGTACCAACCTGCAGTGTAGTGGTTTGGCACACAGAGCAGATCCTCCCTCTCTTCCAATTGACAGGAATGGAAGACATTTATGCAACCTTGACGGCTATGCACGCATCAGGAGGAGCAGGAAACACCTTCTTTAGTTTTACCATGATTGCTGAGATTAAAGCACTGGGAACATGGTGTGGCATGCACATGGACTAACAGGGGCAAGCAAGTATTAGTGAATCCAATGGAACCGGCACATCAAATCCTCTTTGTTCCTTTACAGACCACAAACTCCTGCAAAAATGTATATTCACATGACTCCAGTCCTCCGTCAGCTTCACTGGCTTCCCATTGAAGCCCGGGCCCAATTCAAGGTGTTGATTATGACCTATAAAGCCCTAAACGGCTTGGGTCCTGGCTACCTGAACAAGCGCTTACGTCCGTATATGCCCGACCGCCCTTTGAGATCTGCGGGAGAGTCCCTTCTCTGGGAACCCTCCATGAAAGAAATTAGGAGAGTAAGTACCCGGAGGAGGGCTTTCTCTGCGGTGGCGCCCAACCTATGGAATTCACTCCCCAAAGAGGTCCGCCTGGCACCGTCGTTACTGGTTTTTCGGCGCCAGGTAAAGACCTTTTTATTTAAACATCATTTCAATTGTTAAAACATATGATCTGGCCAGGGCAACTTCTTCTTCCTTCTCTTTCTCCTCCTATATTTTTATTTTATACTGATAATTTTAATTTTATATTGGTAAATCAATGTATTTTTTGTATTTTTATATTTAATGGTAATTTACTATGTACTATTGTATTTCAATGTATTTTATCATGTTGTAAGCCGCCCCGAGGTTTCGGCAAGGGGCAGCATAGAAATGTAATAATAATAATAATAATAATAATAATAATAATAATAATAATAATAATAAATATATATTCGTGGTTCCACAGATGCCAAGTTACATCATGGACAGCCAGCACAAAATAAAGCATACCAAAAGTTCATTTTCACAAAGGTTCTTGTGAGCCTTGGGGCTTGCAGCTTGAAAGCCTGCCTCCCTCCTCTGACATCCAAGCCTGTTTAGGAAATTAGATCTGTTGTTCCTGGACTGCGGGTTTTTACCAGTCATCTCACACCTTCACTGAGGGCTGAAATTGTCAGTTTCCACAGGACTGTGGCAGGAAAGTGCTGTGATTTTTTCCCCTAGTAGTTCAGTCTGAAGATGAGCAAGTATTTCTGTTAAGTATCCTTTCACCTGCACTCTGCTCCTTCCTACCTGGTAAGCACAGGGTTTTTCCACCCTTTTATCTGTGTCCATTTTCCTGCCACCGGTGGCTCTTATCCATCTTACCAACACATTAGCAGTTCTAGGAATTAAGCTAGGGACTGAAAAAACTCTCAGCCTGTCCCCTCCCTGTTTGCCTGCTGTCCTTTTCTTCCACATTTCCCTCCTAACTCCAACACCCAGGTATCTCTTCCTCCTTCAGCCACCGTTTTCTCTTTCTTGTTTTTGCTCTGTCTACGCCGGTTGTCCAAATTCTGCCTCCTTGAAATAGCATCTCTTTTGCAACCCCAATCCTCAGGATTCTGGCCACCAGGGTAATGTTTCCCTGCTACTTCCGGACGTGCTGCACAATGGCAGCAACAGGAGGAGGCCAGGCAAGAAGCTGCTGCAAAGTAGCAACAACTGCTTGCTTCTTCTCCCCATTTGCTTTTGACCCCAGTGTGCCTGTTCGAGCTTTGCACTTCCTCAACTGAGAGTGAAGTGGCATTAGGAATGAAGTATCTGTGATGGGGTCTCTTAGGGCAGACTGGCTTGGGAGTCATCACCATGATCCTATGCAGTCCCACATCTTTTTTATCTGAAGAGAGATCACTTTTGGAGATGACTTTGCTGCTGTATAGTACACAAGCCCTCTGTTCCCAACACATTTTAATATCTCCAAAATAACTTTATTTGCTTCATTTATATACAAATTTAGACTCATAAAGGCAATGGTCCCATCTTAAGGATACTTTCTGGTTCATTTTCAGATGTTAAGGGATGCCCCTCTGTGTGGTAAATTCAGAGGCTCACCCGGATCTAATAATGATCACCAGAAATAGGCATCTTTCAAAGAGAAAGGCTTTAATGAGCAGGAGAATATTACCTATTAGAGCTTATCAAGGTGTGGCTGAACTAATTCCACTAATCCTTGCCATGTTTCATTTTATATACCCATATTCTCCACCATCTATATTAAAATATTATATTTTGGTGTAGGTTCAAACATCAATATTTATTTATTTGTTTGATTGATTTCTAGCCAGACTTTGTTTAAAGCACTCAAGGAAGCTTACATCCTTCTCCTACTGCTGCTGTCAATATGATCCCAACAATAACTCTGTGAGGTAGGTTGGGCTGAGAGTGTGTGACTGGCCCAGTCAGCCAAGTGGCTCCGTGGCTGAGCAGGGATTAGAACCCAGATTGCCTGAGTCCCAGTCCCAGGCTCTGAACCACCACACCACTGGCTCTCATAGTGCCATGTAGTTAATTTTGGCCACCACTACTATGTTGAATCTTTTCTCAAATGCACGGCATCACATTAAAAAATAGTGCTTTACCATTCTGTTAAAACAGAATTAAAGCCTGCTCTTCACTTGAAACTTTCCCAAACTGACGCATCAATTACCTTCTGTAGTGGGAGTAATGGACATTGCAATTTTAAACAAAGCACACCGCATTCACTCAAGTAGCACTCTCATCTTCATTGAAAGGAATGGCAAGATACTACCTTGACGGCGACTACAAGGGTCTGGTTGATTCCGAATGGCTCTTGTGAAATTACTTCAATTGTTGACATTCCAATCAGGGATCCAGAATTTAGAAGGCCATTCTCATCAATCTGGACAACAGGGACTCTCTCATGACCATCCAGTACCCGGTAACTCAGAGCAGCAACTCTGTCCCTTGGTAAAACAAGTAAATACATATAAATAAAACCAGCAAAGGACACTTAAAATGCGAAGATCAACAGTTACAGCATAATTTTCTCTAAACTGTGTTGCCATTTGTTGGCACATCTTTGCTGTTACACATCCCAAAAGCATTTCTGCCTAAGACTCAAAAGCTCAGATGTTCAGGGAAGTCTCCTTGTAAGACCTCTTATCTGTGCTTATGCATACATTACAAACTACTTGCTGCTCTGCCTGTCAGTGTTCACTGGTGTAAACTTGATTCACAATACAAATGGACAAAACTAGAGGATGCTCCTTCAGGAGTATTTTGTATAATGAACCTTCAAAGGGAGATTAGTCTGCCAGGTTCAGTCTTAGAGAGTGATGGGCATGACTAGAGAGAGCATAGTAGTTTTCGGGAAATTATTTGTACATAATACTGATTTAAAAAAAAAAAAGTCTCTCAATGCCATTGCTATATAGGGCATGACTTGTATGTAACCTACAAGGCATATAACATGACTAGCACTTTCCTTCAGCCAGAAATATACATTTCCATACAAATCAGCTACTCATCAGTATGTATAACCCTACACAAAAGGGTGATATTAATTGTGATTTTTAAATTTTGTTTTTTGTTCTTTGTTCAATGCACATTGTTTTAATATAGCACTATGGTCCAAACTAAAGGACTGTGGGCCAACATCTAGAAGACCTTCCTCACCAACTAAAGTTTTATCTTGTCAGCGTAACAGTGCTGAATCAGGAAAGCAAAGACATCTTGGGGGGTTTAATTTATTTCTGAAGCTAAACTGCAGTGCCCACATTTTGATGCAGAATTTATGTCTTGGCCTGTTCCAGACAAATCACCATTGTTTCTGAGTTAATTTGTGCATTCCCACTATGAGGGAAGAAGGAAAGGAATTTACTTGCTCGCCCACAAGGCTTACTCATACATTGGCTTGTTGAGCTGAGGTGTGATCTTCCCAAAGCAGCCTGCTTCACTGCCCCCACTTCTACTCTACCTTTCATTTGGAACACCTTGCTACACAATCACAATGTGAAGATCACCTACCTGTTGGTTTGAACTTTAAAAAAAGAGTTTGGTGACATTAAGATCTGTCCTACTTCTACACCCATAATAACTAGTTTCTCAAATACCTAGAAATGGAAACAATTTTGATTAGATTTTTATAAAAGTTAAGAATAACTTACATAGACTATTTCATCTTCAAACAACTAGAAGGGAATTATTAACAAAAGAATGTGACACATGAAAGGAAAATACTTATTTTAACACAGAAAGATTCCTTATCTTTAATGCAGTGTTCAGAAGGGCATCGAAAGGACCGAAGCACTGCTTAACTTTAGAAAGACAAGTGAGTCCTTTAATGTTGGTTGACCTATTTATATGCTGGATACAAACACAAGACTTTGTAGGGAAAAAAATCCAGCAAAGATAATTGTTAATAGAAAAACAGCATTTGAGAGTAATCCTTTAGTTTCCTCCCTTAACTAATAGCCCTATTGTGGTAAGATTGCATAAGACTTCTTTGCAAAAGCTTTAGATCAATTTAATGTTTAGTGTGAGAAGTTAGGGTCCTATCTTATGGGCTGACCCCATTGTGTTCCAGGGGTGGTGGAGCACAGATGGGAAGAAACTCCATGGTCCCAGCAGGGCTGGGTAGCAGTGACTCCAGTCTTCTTACTCCTGAGATGCTACACTGGGAACCACTCTTACGGGGCTTCCAAAGAGGCTGCCTGTGTGGTGGATTGTAAATGTATTTATTTTCAAAAATGTATACACTACTTTACTTATATAAACAAACCCCCTAAATATTGATTAAAATCTCAATACAATGAATCAATCTAATAATAAAATATCTGGTTCAAAGTAGGCAGGATATCTGGCAGGGCAAGCAGTGAGAAAAATGCCTGGGCAAACACATATGGCTTTAAGTTGTCAACGGAAACACTTCAGAGCAGGCGCCCACCTGAGCTCAGTGGAGAGAATACCATATAATAATAAATAATTATTCATCGCATTTGTTCCAAATACAATACTGATGCCAAAATAAATGGGAGAAATAATATAAGGCTGCTCAGAGAAGCAGGGTGCTCTGATACACCCAAGGATCAACAGAAACGTTCTTCTAGTTATGCACAGTGAAGTATGAAGATGGGGGTCTGTGTGTTGGTTTCAGTACACACCCTATTTAGTTCAAGAGTATAATGCTGTGCTGGGAGTTAATATTCCTTCATCTGTTCTGGCCTAGGATTCCACATCCAACCTTTGTGTGCACGTGTGATTTTAAAATATTTAAAAAGCATCCATCGACTTCACCTGAGTCATTTTTTCTTCTTTGTACCCTATCATAGGTATAGGAGCAGGTTAATTGAAGGAATAAATGGGGAGGAAAAAGGTTTAAGCCCTTCCCCTCCAGGTGTCACAACCCTGAACAGGGCCCATGCAAGCTTACACTGTGGTATGGCAACCTGTCACAGGCTTACACAAGATTTACACTGGACCTAGTTCCCAAACAGAATGTGAATAGTAGACACTTTGGGGGATGGCTGGGCGGAATAGTGAGCTGGCAAAACAGGATCTTATCCTCACACAAGTAGGACTGCAGAGAGACAAATCTAACTCAGATGCTGAGAAAATGAGCCAAATGCTACTGATGCAGTAGCGACATGTTGTACAAGTGAGGTACAGGTACACTGCGTATTATTTATGCTCTTTGCCGACCATATAAAAACATGGGATGAGAGTCAGTTTAAGCCCTTGGTGGACAGAGCAGCTCCTTCCATCCATGGGAGGCTTCTGATTCAGGGGTGGAACAATGCTCCCGGAGGTGGGGCTGTGAGATCTCTTTTATTTCCCCTCCCCTGCAGTTCCCCAGCCCCTCCTGGAACAGAACAGAAGAAGCAGTGCTCAACGCTGAAGACGGAGGTGGAAATCAGTAGCGATTGCCATCTTCTGCTTCCACTATTGTGAACCTGGAGACAGGGACTTCACTTGGGAGCTGTTTCCGCAGGCAGAATAAAATCTGGATCCAGCTCACTGATTCTGCTGGCATAAGTGCCACGAACACAGTACACTAAGGATATCGTTCAAAGTAGTGCTGAGTTATGACACCTTAGTGCCATTATGCACTACAAAAAGTGCTTTAACTACATGCTAGCATCAGGGGGAGCTAAAAATGCCATCTTAAAACTGGCTGTCAATACCTTAATGTAGTCACCTGTAATTTTAAAAGAGCAGTAGGATGGCACATAAATCTAAAGCTTTTCTGAAACCACACGCCTCTGTCAGGCTGAATGCAAATAGCCATAATTTAAGTATCTTGGACGGCAAATCTTAGCAATTTTTTTGCTGTAATTTTTTAAAGTGATTGTTAAGGTCTTGTCTGTGCAACTTGTTTTTGAGTCATAAAAGCATTAAGCTTTTCTGAATTTAAGGTGCAACCCAGTCATGTTTTTCATCCCACACATTTTTGTCTTCTATTGTTGCTATGACTGGATTCTAGATTTCTTGGTTGCCACAGTGTATAATAATTTTTAAAGCATATGGTAAAAGCAGGATTCAGCTGTAGCTACAAGCCCATAAGATTCAACTGTAGCTCGGAGAGAGAGCACTGAAAGCAGACATCCAGGCTGCCTGGATGAATCAGTGCGGTAGGATCCGCTTATATTTTTATTTTTCTATACTTGTGTACTTCTCACTGTGACAATAACTAGACCAGAATTTACATATAAGTAAAACTGAAGTCTGCAAATGTCACTTGAGGCTTTCCTGCATATGCATTGATGAGGATGGTGACCTGTTTGTTTGTTTTTTCCTTCCTGAAATTGCAAATTCAATCCTTCCAGGAGGAAAAATGTAATCCATTTGAACAATGCAACTGTCCATAATTCAAAACTAACCAAGATGGCTGGTCTTTAAAACGATGAAACCAACACAGACTGCATTTGCCTATGTAGACTACAGACTGCTAAATTTAATTATTTAACTTTAGATAAATGTCATTTATCTCACTGCAAACTAAAATGGACTTTTTCAAACTAATAGCCAGCGAAAACAATTGTGCTAAAGGTGTGGTTCCAGAGTTACTGAAGGGTATAGCTGGACAATTTGAGCAACCACAGAGAGCCCCAGAATTAGTGCTCAATGCTAGTCTAAGAAACAGCGGCAAAGTTATTGTGAATTCTGATTTCTCCTTTATTTTTTTCTCTTATCTGTACTCTTTTTCTTTTAAGAAAACAATTAAAAAGTATTTTTAAAAAGGGAAAGTTATCCTAAACTTAAAGCAAATGGAGGAAAATGCAAAACCCTGCTGCAAGTGGGATCCTTCTTGATTAGGATCCATTTGTCTGCATGGCCAGCCCTTATTAGCAGAAGGCCTCGCCTCTCAGGATTGTAACTCTGCAACTGGTAAGAGGGGAGGGGAGGGGAGGGGAACGTTGCAGCACTGGTCTCATGGGATGATGCATGCCATTCCGGACTGCATTTATAGTACACCGAGGAATACCAAAATCTTGTAATAATACAACTGGATCCTGAAACCTTCAGGTTATGTCAATTAAATTGTTTTGCTGTACATTCCTTTGCCTCAAATCTTTCTATGAGTTCGGTGGACAGAATTAGAGTCGCACGGGACACATCTTGACTATCAGCCATTCACCTGGTTGCAGAGGATTCATCAGATTATTTCTGTTAAAACATATCTTCACATGAATTGTGTAAATAAACAAAAAGCCTCAGCTTCTCATGATGAAAATATATGGGAAAATATTAGGCAATAAAAATATGATAAAATAGCCATTTTCCCCCTGTGGAATTGTGAAACACATGCAGCTCTAGTGGTATTACCCTCAAAGATCATTCTTTTTCACTAACAGTCTATGAAGACTGCCCGTATAATACCTGTATTTGGATTTCATCGGACAATTCTCTTGCCATGTGATAAAACTGTCCAGCTGATGGGTCAAGGGCTTTCACAACAACCTTCAAACCTGCTCTTCCTTTGCCTTTACCATAAACATCCATAGCAAAGTTATTTTGAGCAGAAAGCTGAAGAGAAGCCTGAAAGACAAAATAGTAGGCAATACAGAAATTCCATGATATCCTCCCTCTCAAACTCTTTAGGCCCCAGAACTTCTCAGCTTTGAGCACAGAAGTAATCTTGCAATTCAGACATAGCCACATAACTGATAGAATCACAGCACTGGAAGGTACCTCGTGGTCCATCTAGTCCAACACGCTGCCAGTGCAGGGCCAAACTACACTGGATCCTAGAATAGTTGCAACTTTCTTCTCTCCATTGAAAGTTCATAATTGTCTAATTTCAGTCAGTTCCAAACAGGTCTAGCAAATCCCAGGCTACCAATGCCTGGCCTGCCCGAAGTGCCCTAGACACCAAAGACAACTGATACTCTCAGTCTATGCTGGCCCCTGAAGGCTCCTGTCCACATTATGTTCTGAAACATGTGGGACTGACCGTTGCTTCCATCACTTGCAAATGTTTCAGCTGAGGGTACAAGCAGCAGGATAGGCTCAACCAATGCTGCCTTTTGACCTGCAAATCTCACAACAGCACATGACTGCATGTGTTCACAGTGTCAAGAATTCTCAGCTTAGAGTACAAGGGGCTTCCTGTGTTTTACACTCAATAGCCTTCTGGAAGGGGTGATGCTGCAGTCAAAAGCCAAAACAGTGCCCCAGCCAACCAGTACAGATACCTCTAGATACTCTTTCTGCACAAATTTCATGCCGATCTTGGGACAAGATTCCTCTGAGGTTTTCCCTTCTCTCTGAAAGATGCCTAGTGACACTTTGATACTCCAGTGGACTAATGCACATTTTGCATGGAAGAGCCTCTTATGAAGGTAATGGAAGGTGTGCAAGAGATGCATTGAAGGCAACAGGTATTGTCAATTTGAGCAGGCAAAAGAAGGAGAGAATACAGTTGCAACTGAAGGAGGAGGCTTGTAAAATAAAAAAGATCAATTCTTCTGCAAGCACAAGGAAATAGCACCCAATAGTCTTTGGGAGAAAAAAATTGAAGGAAGAAGAAACAACCTTCAGACACAACTGGCTCTGGAGCAATAAACATGGACTTAATAAATGTAGATGGCATCTAGTAAGTGACCAGAAAGCCATAGATCAAATTAAATACACATGTAGGCTAAGAGCTAGTGTTTTCTTCTAACTTCACTCTGCTGAATTTCACTTTTCCAGAAAGTATATAAGATAATTCTCAATATTAAAATAATACATTTACCTCACTGAATCTTGATTTGACACCCAGGATATCCCTCTTGGTGACAGACCAATGAAATGTTAATCCTGGCACTGCATTGCCAAATGAAAAAGGTGTCTGATTGCTGGTAATGCCCATGACATACACTGGCATCTGGGAGAAAAACACACATTTCATTTTTTAAAAAAAGAAATAACAATAAAGGTTCAGTACATGCGTTTTTAAACATATAGTAAAAACAATGAAGCAGTTAAAATATGCTAGTAATAGGATACTGTATTAAATCACCAATTTCAAGTCACAATCAAAGTCTTATTTTATTTTGCCATAAGTAAGCAAATGAAAGGAAAAAAAAGCATGAAATCCAGAAGAACATCCATTTGATTCACCTGAGTGCCAGTTTTCATTCGTGTAATGGGTACATGGATTCGAACTGCCTCAAGTTGAATTACTTCAACTTCCACTTTATCCTAAAAGAAAAGGCAGAAAGTCTGGGGTCAATTCAATTAAATGTGCTGTAGAGGTAAATTTTCATTTCACTTCAGTATCTTTTGAATTACGCCATACAGGAGAAATGCAGAAACTTCCTTAATGCCTTTTAGGATACCAAGATCACTTTCTTCATGTTCTAGGCTACTTCATCATTAATGCTCAGGGCAAAGAACAATTAACACTTAATCCAATAAAATGGGACTCTGAAATGATGTACATTAAAAGTTCATGCCAATTAAGAGGTTAGCTCAAATTAGTCTGAGAAAATCTAAAGTTCTGGCAGGTTTTTGGACAGATAATGATTAGCGCTTAATCATCCAGAACAAGTTAGCTCAATTAAAGTCTTTCAGTGGTCTTGAGAATATGAAGTACGGCTGAATCCAGAGAAATGTCCAGAAAATCTGCAAGAGATTTAAACACAGTCAAATGTGTTTAATCCAATCTGCAGAATCTGCAGCAGACTGGCTATTCTGAGCTGCAGAATAGTTCATGCCAATTAAGAGGTTAGCTCAAATTAGTCTGAGAAAATCTAAAGTTCTGGCAGGTTTTTGGACAGATAATGATTAGCACTTAATCATCCAGAACAAGTTAGCTCAATTAAAGTCTTTCAGTGGTCTTGAGAATATGAAGTACGGCTGAATCCAGAGAAATGTCCAGAAAATCTGCAAGAGATTTAAACACAGTCAAATGTATGAATCCAATCTGCAGAATCTGCAGCAGACTGGCTATTCTGAGCTGCATAGACCATTTTCTTTTATTTTAGTTTGGGAGGCAGAGAATTAGCACAGGTGTACATTCATAAACTGAACTGAAATCTCATACAAATAAAGTTAAAAATAAATTCTGATTTTGTCAACGAGTATGAGGCAACCCCCATCCAACAGTATGTAAACGCAGGTGGAATGGATTTAACAAAAAGTGCAATTCTGAGCATTGCAAGAGAATAATTAAGAAATACTTTCAGGATACTTTGGCTCTTTGAACTTTGTATACTGGCAAAATATTCAGTGGGGTTTTTCTGCCTAGGCTCTGATCAGACAGAGCACGTTGGTAAAAAGGGAAGAGGCAGTTCTCTTAACAAAAAGGCATCTTGCCTTGTTCTGAGTAATACCACTGAAGCCAAATGTTAAAACATCTGAGATGTGTTGAGGTGACCTTGCTAGGCAATTGCTTTTATGTGCTGGCACAGAGTGTTGGTGGGCAAATTGAGTAAAACATGCTGGTTGCAGAACTTTTCATGGATATGCTTTTAAAATGATATGACAGACATTCCAGTTTATAGATCCAATAAACTGAAAATTGGGACATTTCTGTTTAAAAATATATCACCAGAACTGAGGCATGCAACAAAATGCTCCCCCTCAGGAGCCTTCTAGTTCAGGGGTCCTTGAACAGAAGGCTTTATAGTCCTATTCAGGCCTGGAAGGAAAGGGAGAAGTGTCATATAGAGAAAGGGAAAGACCAGTCAGAAGCCCTTTCCTAAAGATAGAATGACATGAATGTTTATGGGGAGAAAGTGGGAACAAGCAGCCAAATATGACTTTCCTCTTTCCCTGAAACATTCCTGTATCTTCTAGGATATGTACTCCATGTTCTTAGAGGTTTGAGCAGGCCTATTCCATCTTCCACCCATTCCTTCTTTCCTCTCACAGAACTTCCGCTCAACTGTCACATCAACATTCACACATCTTACAGGTTTTTGTAAAATCATTTTGGGTTTTAACATTGTATTTGTTTTTAATTTACAATGGTATATATTTCTAGGGAGTCCCCTGAACATGGAGAAGCTACTGCTTTATTTTTGCATAACGCTGTTTTGCATTCAGACTGGCAGGCGTTCCACAACCCAGATCCACGACTGGCTGCTCCACTGTGTGCCACGCACTGGTTCTCCTTGTATGCTTGCTGTGCAAGGTCCCAGCTATCTGTTCCCTCCAAACTGTAAATTCCACTGGACTTCCAACTTTCTTTTTCAACACCCTGTGATCACTGTGCATACTCATTCCTTCCTGTGGTTTTGAAATTGGCTCTCCCATAGGTTATGGTGTTTTAAAGTTAGTACTTCCAAGTGAGCTGCTTCTCGGTAGCTCTGTTTTGGTTCAATTTCTGTAGGCATTCACCATTTGAATTAGCCATTAAGAGGGAGTGATGAATATTCAAATATTTCTATCCTGTGTTTCCACCTCTGCACAAGATACTCAGAGCAATTAACAGCATGATCAATACAAACAAAAAGTGAATACACACATGCAGAAAATAAGTACATGTATGAGGGATCAGACTGATCAAATGAAATAAACACAAGCAATGTGGACATTGCTTCAGAATCCATGATGTATTTTATTTATTAATATTTAAAATCTATATCCATCGAACAGACTTATGTTTCAGTTTAAAAATAAAATATACAACTTGTGTCTGCCATCAAAGGAAGGACAGTGGTTCTAAATCTTTAAAAGATTTGTTTTGCATTACAACAATTCCATAGAAAATCAGATAGTTCACCATGAATCCTATTAATTTTGATTGCCCTTCTTCCCCATTGAGTGAAAAACAGTACACAAAATTTCAGAGGAATTTATGCTTAACTGAGATATGCCAACAGAGTGGATGAAACTACAGATGCAATATATAAATCAGGACACTATAAAAACCCAATGACAGATCAAAGTCAGCTCAGTATGAAGTGCTTGTCCATAAATAACACATCAGTATCTATCCAAGGAAAGCAATACAGCAACACAACAGGATTTAGATCCTTTGTTATAAAATGGGGTGTTAAGGCTGGATAACAATTTCAGAGGCACAGTATTATACGAGGCTTTTTAATTAGTGCTCACCATGAAAAGAATAGTAAACAATATTTATGGGATGAAAGAGGGGCCAGTGGAAGAGATTAAAGATGAATTCTTAATCGGAGCCAATGGGTGGGCTTGCAGATACGTAATGCTAAGCCACTGCTGCAAACAGGCTACAGAGTGAGGGTGGTTGTTCTGCTCCTTCAGCTCCATTCTGCAGCCGGCTTGGACATGCAGCCTAGGGGACCTAATAGCAATTAGGTCAGCCCCTGCACAATCTGTTGCCCTTTTTAGTTCCCTGGCTCTTCATTTTTTGGAGCCACAAAAGTGTGTAATTAGGGTTGCAATTGCTGCTATTGCTAGTTGGTCTTTCACAAGTGTGCCCTTGTGAGGGTATGTGTAGTCTTGGCTGGTCAATTTCATTGCACATTTCAGCTGTCAAAGAGCACTAAGACAGAGTTGGTAACACACAAGGAAATTGGTAGTGTAAGCCTGCACATATGCTGCTTTGCACACAGCTAGAAAGGACCAAGAGAAATAACAATAAGAGAAAGGAGCAATCCAGGAGCACAATTCAGAAGTAACAAAATGGGGGAGGGGTGGTTAGGTAGTAGAGAGGCCTGCTGGGACTATTGTGTAGGGTTTTATCAATCAATCAAACAACAAATAAATGCACCAAAAGGGAAGGAACAGCATTCCCCTTTGGCAATATAATAATGCAGCTTTTTATAGTGTTGAACTGACCGTTTCTCAAAGGTACAGAAAGAGGAGATATTAATTCCTGCGTGTGCTTTTTGTGGCTCCTTTTCAGAACATTTACTGTGGCAACTGGAGGTCACAGATAGTTGTTTCTTTAAGCTTAAGCAGGTGGTTGCCTGGGTGGGAAGAGACAGTTGCAGAGATGGAAGAGTCTGGTGGAGCAGACTGGACAACAGCACCAGTGGTATCTACACCTGCTCCCTTTGGTGTTTCAGTCACTTGGTTCTAGTCAATTCCCTCTTCTGGTTTATTTTAGAATGTCAGAGAACTGCAGGAACCACAACAGTTAAGTGCTATGAAAGAAGTCATGGCAAGGTGTGGCAAAATTATTACCTCCTCTTTCTGGATGAGCAGGCCCTGAGAACAGTCAGAAAACACTTGAAACTAAGAGAATTACAACTCTAGGTGGGGAATATTCTCCTTGCTGCCCTTGGCACCTGTAATTCCCAATTTTCAGTGCTTTTCCGTGGTGCCATTTGAGCTTTGATGGAGGGCCGTTCATCGGGGGCAGCACCAGCAAGAATGCAAAGAGCAGCAGTGGATTTTGCCTCATCCAGTATTTTGTGGCTACACTGTCGCTGTTTTGGGTTCAGACAATATGAAAACCTCTCTTGATGAGGAAAACCTGTAGATCAAATTCTGAGTTATCAGGGTGATTTATTCACTAACAACACACCCTGTGGAAAGTAGTCCAGCTTCATACAACTCAAGAACTATCATGGCTAGCTGGGTGGCAGGCCAATGTACAACTGATACGAAGTGCTGGGTTGTATCAAATCCTAGTGTAGCCACAAAACTGGATGATTTTGTCCTAACTCCTGATCATTCCACCTGTGCTCCTCTTCTGAGAGTGGAATAAATACAGGAATATGAAAGAAATAAGAGACTGTGAATCTATAAGCAAATGCTTTTATGAATGTAAGGACAGGAAATCACTCTTTAAACATGTGCTTAATGCACTATATGCATAGTTAATAATGCTATAATCACACGCATGTAAAAAACTGGGCAACCCTGCTGTTCCTAGGAGAAAGTGCCAGGGACTATGGAACATGGCAGATTTCCTTCCTAGGAGCACAGACACTGCTACAAGGGGGGACCTGGGATTGGTCTGTCATCCTTCTGTCTCGCAGCAGCTAAGGAAAGCAGCCTGGTAGCTGCTCTTCTGAGGGCATCAGAGGAGCTTCAGAAGAACTCAGGGAAGGAAAAAAGAAGGCAAAATGGTGGGAGGGAAGAGGATGGGTGTGGGCAGAACCCCAAAGAGTTAAACTCCACTGGGAAAGGAAGCGGGGTACCTTTTCTTCAGTGCAAATGCAGTGTAGGCTTCCCAGAAAGAGAGGGAGGCCCCAACCTAGCCACCAGACCATGGGATTTCAGAGGATCTGGAAGAAATCTTCACTCGGTACTGTGAATAACTAGACTGTGTTTTATTTGCCACTGAACTGCCACTTTAATTGCCACTGCTTTCTGCTTTGTGTTCTGCCCTCTGTTCCCAGGCATTTAATGGTATTTAATGGCATATGATGGGTTATGTTATGTTATTTTATGCTCTTTTAATGAGGTCCAGTTCTTAATGAAAATATTCTAGATTTTAAACTGCTTTATAATTTACTATACTGGAATTTTTAAATATGCATGCAGGAAATTTGTTTTATTGTATTTATATTTTTATTGTATCTTTTGTATATTATTAATTGTTGTGCCAGGGGGCTTCAGCTACTGGGCCATACAGAATTGAAATGAATGAATGAATGAATGAATGAAACAAATGCCTCCACCTTCTGCCTGGCCAGTAACAACCAGCAGGGCCCAGAATGGTGTGGCAGCTCCTCCATTCCACTCCACCCTAGTCTCAGTTTGCACTGCCCTGTAATCACTTTTATATTCTTATATACAGTAAGCCCAAGCATGACAGCTCCATCTTTTGTTCAAGGTGATCCATTATACTTATGCAAATTTTTAAATGAAAAAATAAGGTCAAGGACTAACTCAATGTTCTAAGATAGGCACACATCAAAAAGTTACCTGGGAAACCACCACGACTTTGCCAGTCTCCACGTTTACAGCTTGAACCGTCCCTGTAAGAGAACTGTTGCCAGCTGACACTCCTGTTATCAGGCCACCGCTGTTCACAGAAGCAATATTGGTATCACCGATGGAGAAGATTATGTTAGACTGAGGCTGCGGTCCTCCCTCTGAGATAATCTGTGATAAGTCATTTAGATGAAAATCATTACTAACAATCTTAGGTGGTACAACATATTGGAGCTTCCACTGTACAGATGATAGAGGAACCTGTCACAACCTATTCATACCTTGATCACATGCAGACACAGCCTGGCTTAGCTAAGTATAGCAGGCCAGCGTAATTCAAAGGTGTTTATAAGCTCTTTCTTTTTAAACCCTCTCCCCGAAACCCTCAACATGGATCTAATTCTTTTGTGTGACATGTGGAAGGTGAATTTGAGTGCACAGGTACACATTTATCTCTATTCTCATTGGATGTTTAACTCACCATATGGAGAAGATTCAAGGAAGTCTGAATAATTGATATTTTTAAAGTACGCAGAGACTTGAATAAAGCATGATTTTTTAAAAAATGCAATACAATTCTGTGCATGTATACTCAAAGCTTAGCTCCAGTGAATTCAGTGGTGGTTACTCCCAGGTGAATATGGGATTACAGCATTAATGATTAAAAATGTTCTTTTACTAGAAGAATATTTGGCAGTATAATAATTAAAAAATAAGAGATCACTTCCCAGGTTCGCACTTTCCAGCAGCATCAAGGGAGTATAGGAAGGTGCAAAGTTCATGGCAGGATAGAAAGTAAGTGCAAAACCATCCTGAGATCTGAAACAAGATTGTCTATCAATCTATCTACCCTAAGAGTCCTCTAGAAAGGAAATAATTTAGCACAATAATATTAAAAGCAACTCACTTGGATCACTGCACCTATCAGTAAAGTGACTTTTCTTGGCATCAGTCTAAAAGGAGGGAAGACCTATAAGTGAAATGACAAACATTAATATGTGCAAGTGTTCTATTTATAACATCCAACTTTTCAAGGTTCACATAACAATTTTAATCTCAATGTTTTATTGTTCTGCCTGTCCAAGTTCTCTGTTTGTACAGTTTTAACTTTCATGTATTCTCACCTTCTGCAATATGTTTTTATGGCGTCCTGAACATGCCATTCATGGAATCTTGCCGTGTCCTGTGTGCTCCTCTTTCTGACATTTGGCTCACATCTCCTGATTACGCTCTTCCACTACCCCCCATGGTGAAGAATGCTATACAATGCAAGTTCTTTTTCTGATACCGGTTGCTCTCATTCCCCACTCCCTTTCCCTTTCTAACTGCTTTTGTTCACTGAAATGCAATTTAGTAGTTTTTTCACTTCTTTGTGGCTACGGTCTGTCAATTCTACAGTCTGCTTCCTGCTCTGTTTTTGAATTTGCTTTCTCACAGTTCCATAATGCTACAACGTTGATGCATTCGCTTTTTCACTGGAGCTCCCATAATGAAAATAGTGTCTTCCCACAATAGTTCGCCTTGCCACATTTCCCTGTGCTCTACCTTGCCTTCCCCTGCCCTTCCCCCTTTGATGTTCCCTTTGATGTTGTGCCTTGATCAGTCATAAAAGCTCATACACGAACCACCCGCAATCACTCTACAAGAGATGCACTGTCACTCTGTTGCAACCAGAACACTATTGCTGCTAAATGATTAAAAAGACATTTCTTGACTTTGGCAAATTAAGTACCTGCAAAAAAAACCCCCAAACACCTATGCCCATTTTTTTTGCTTAATCATATTGAGACTATGCCATTAAAAATAGCACTGATTTCCCAAATGTTAATCATTTCAAAGGGCAAGTTCTTTAAGAATGCAGACAGCCTCATCATGGTAAGTAGTCCAGAAAGCATTATCTATTAACAATGAAAAGGTTTACTTCGATCTGCTGTGGAGCTGAATAGATTCTCTCTCTATATCTGTCAGTGACAACTGCTGTAAGACTGGTTTGACCTATGGCCACTCCATGAACTAGGAAAGCAGCAGTGTAGTCATCAGAGGTTTCGCTGAGAGGTCTGCAGTAAGAAAATACATCAATTAGACAAACATTCTTATGTAAACAGGAAAAGATGGGTCTTTCTGTACCTGGTGTCTAGACTTGTATCTCTGAAGTTGGATTCTAATGATAAAATTCTCAGTGGAATAATAAAATGCAACCAACTCCACTGAAACGAACAGGTACTGACTGAATTTTGAGTAGCTTTTATCAAGGATGATATTGGTATCGCAGTGAGCAACACTGTTGAAACTTCTGAATTTAATCATGCTATTATCTGGAAGCAGCTTATGGGGCACAAGCCACAATAGGTTCAGGAGCTGCTGACAAGGTGAGAAAGCCAGAAAACATTGGTTGATCTGAACAGATGAAACCGACAAATTCAGGTCAGAGCCAACTGCCAAAGCTGTCTTTTCACACAAAGTGAATAGCTTAAAATAAAAGGCCTACACAGTTGGAGAGAACTGCATCCTTGTTTTCTGACTTTCACAAAAAGGCCAGGCCATTGTTTTCTCCTTGCCAAATTCCTTCAATGGTTCTTCATTTAGGGCATAAACCCATGCATGTAGAAAAAACCTCCTGAAAAAATAGAAAAAAAACCTCCTGAAATTACCAGTTTTGCCCAGCTAGCCATGCTTACTGGAGAAAGCTGGGTGTTGCAGGACCCTTTTATGTCTAATTATGTAGCCTTACAGAAGGCAGATAAAGCTTTCCCAATAGTGTGACTCTAAACTTCTCTAATGCTCACTTTGTTGCTACTTTAAACATTCTTTGTTGACAAGAAACCATTTTGTTATAATTTCATAGAGCCTTTCTGTAAGCAATTGAAGATCACTGATATATATATAGAGGAAAATATTTAACTATTTAATATTTTGTTGTTTATTTTACTAGTTGCCAGTTTTAGCAGCTTGCAGGTCCTCTTGAATGATTTTAATAGAAAATAAAGACATCCATGCAGAAATAAAATTCATAATGCCATAATATTTTAAACTCACTGTAATGCATTGCTACCCTTTTTCTTTGATTGTGCACTGTTATTACAGATGTATGCTTTTATTATGACCTCTTTGCAAATTCACATGTATTATTACTTTTGCTTCTTCTGTCTAAAAAAGAACATAATTAAAATAGTACTTACATCAAAGAAATAATCTGAGATGCTGCCTTTAAGTTTAAGTCCATGAAACTGAAGTATTTAGCTGGAAAGTATTTCTTGGAAGCATCCAGCACTCTGACATAAGCTTTAATTTTTTTACCAATTTCTACCTGCAAATGCATTTATTTATTTAGAGACATTCATATTTCCTTCATAATACTCTTATTTTATTACTTAATTCATATTTACCAACTTAGAAAGAAAAGGCCAAGCATGTATATAAGCAAAATGCAGAGCTCCCAACCTTCAGTGAACAGATTTGGGAATGTGACAGTCTGCATGGGCATCAACACAAAGGGGCTCCCATGGAGGATGGGTCCAGTGGGACGATGGCTAGTCAAAGGAGGTGTGTCAAGGCCCAAAAGGCTAGAGGCTGAGAGAAAGGAGAAATAGGAAGGGCAAGGGGTAGAAGGGAAAAAGAGCAAAACTGAGAAGTAGAATTGAGGACAAACAGCAATGTAAAGAGATGGGGGAGAAACTACAAGGAAGGGAGTGAATGGGAGTGAAAGGCTAGAAGGAAGAGAAACAGTGAGGAAAGGGGTTTGGTGGAGGAAAAAAGCAAGGCTAGAGGCAGGGAGTGGAGACATAAGAGTGAACATAAAAAGGAACAGTTTGGGCACGTAGTGGAAGATTGGGTGGGTCTAGGAAGAAAGCTTCTGCCTCCTGCCTTGGTTTGTGAAATCCTCATCGGTGGCAGTTCAGGAGCAGGAAACAGAACTTCAAGCCCTAAAGCCTTTAAAGTTGTTTTTACACTAAAAATAATGTTTGAAGGGGAGAGCGAAGCGAGGACGTCACAGGTGCAGTTGAGAACTCCTGCCTTACAGTGTTGAAAGCACGCCACGGATAGTGGCTTCCTTCAGATGCCTCGCTGAACCATGGCTTAGCCTAGCATACAAACAAAGCCATTATTTCCATAACCTCAGAACGAACCTGCAAACAGGTATTATTATTCTCATACTGCCAAACAGGCTGAGGAATAGTTGCTTGTCTATGGCAACTTAGGGAGTTCATGGCTTGTTTTCTCTGCAAGTATATTATACTAGGTCTGTAGTTTCCAAGACCAGCTGTAATGCATGAAGCCTGAACAGGCCTATTTATTTGATGATAATGTTTTATGGCAACAATAGAGTAACCTAGGGATGAACACCAACCTTGTCAACAACTGCAACATATACTTCATGTATATCAGAAACATACACCTCAGCTTTGGCAATAGAAGTAGAAGCAAGGCACAAGTCATGAATCATTATGGACACTGACCCCGGGTGTAATGGATATACCTAAAAGAATCAGAAGAGAAGAATGTAAAAAACCCAGTTCTTAACTAGTTTGAATTTATTTTATTTAAAAACAAAGGTGCTGTTCCTAGAGCAAACAACAAATTGGACACTGATGACCAGGACAAGAGAGTTGTAGTAAGATGTAAAAAGATGTTTTTCCACCGAAGGGGAATCTGCCCTTTTCAAGTAAAGCTCTAAAATGTGTCTGAGCAGTCTCATGGCACTGAGTTAGTGCAAATGCCTTCGGTAGCCATTGCATTAGTAGATGTTAACGCAGCGGGTAGCCTCTAGTCCTATATGCGCCCCTCAGGAATCAGTAAAACAAAAACAAATCACAAATCATGACGAGAGAGGCCATTTGTAAGAAGACATAAAAAGACGATGCAGACAAAATCTGAACCACAAAAAGCTAACACATTTGGAACACTAAGGATTTTATTCTTAATGGCTCTGAATGAATGGATGGCATCTTACCTTCATGAAGCACCGTTTAGCATTTCAGTGAATATCATTGTGATTAAACAGTATTTTGCTATACTTTGCAATATAATTCTCTGTAATACCATCAAGCCATTTCCTTTGCAATCAGCTGTCATAACACCCATTTCTATACAAACTGATAAAACACATTTATCATGCTGAAGTGTGAAACTTCATAAAAGGTTCATAATTTTACTGCTGGGAGCCAGAGACATCAGATGCTGTATGGATTAATCTCCCGTCTATTTATTTTTTAGTAATATTTTTATCTAACTTTCAGACAAATACTGTCTCCCAAAACAGCTCTCTTCAATGAAAGAGAGGCAGGGAGGGAGCCCGTCCTGGTCATACAGTTCAGGCGCACAACTAAAGGACAAGGCAAACAAGAATGTATTTTATCATGTTGTAAGCCGCCCCGAGGTTTCGGCAAGGGGCGGCATAGAAATGTTATAATAATAATAATAATAATAAAAAAAAGGTAGAGCAGTGAGATTAGTTTGGCAATGCCAGAACAAAGCAGTGAGTTCTTAAGAGGCATTTATATTCCGCTGGGGACATGCTGACCTGGCCTTGGTTGTGGTCTTGGCTGAACTGAGGTGCTGCAACTGACCCAATTCATTTCCAGTAACTGTGTTAATTCACTTCTCCAAGACTATTCTTGGCTAAATTTTAAGAATTCATTTTATTCAGTATTGTGAATATGCTGTTAACATATTCTTGAAAACTCCCCCTTCTGCATTTGGAAAGAGAGATGTGTTGTTTACCTGTGCAACTGCTAATGAAATATTCATACAGGACAGGAGGAATGTTCTTTTGTTGAATTTAATAACCTCGCCTGAACTGACCAAGGGAGGATTTTTTCAGGACTCATACAGGACTCAGTCAGATTCTTAGGAAAAGGCATTACAGGGTGTGCGGGGCTTATAAGCATCAACCAGTCACTTCACACTGACTGGCAGGTTTTTTTGTCCCTCTTTGCAAAGTCGCTGGGACATAGCTCCATGTAAGTGTGCCGTATCAAACACTAGGCACAGAGCCTCATGTGTCAGAGCCTAGTTATTTTTTTTAGGATATGCTTCTGGTGAACTGTTCCCATAGCTTCCCTGGACCAAATGCAGTTGCGCTGGTCATCATGCTGGAAATGCTAGATTTACCTGATTACACTAATGAGCATGATTTAAGGCTTTACTCAATGTACTCTACAAAGATGGTTGACTGTTAATTATTTTCCTCTTAGAGAAGAAAATGGTTGCACATTAGAGCACTTACCACAGCAACACCCTGAGCTTCTTCATAAGCCACTTTCACAATGTTGCCCACACTGGTATTGATGAAAAAATACCCAGAGCCTTCCTCAATGAACAGTTCAGTCTGCCAATGAAAATACATATTATATAATTTACATTTTCACACAGACTGCTTAAGATAATAAGCAAAGGTAGTCCCTTACCTTGACATTCTGATGATTATAGATTGTTACTTCTTTAGGTCTTACTTTGACATCTTCTACAAGTATTAGTTCAGTAGAAGCAGACACAGGTATAATAGGTTCATACTGTAAGGAATAATTAAGACAACCAAAATTGTAGCATGGAATTTCCAGCCTGACATCATATGGATAAAGATTTCAGAACAAAGCTATATAAAGATAGGCTAACAGAATGTGGATGATTAGGTGAAGTAGTAGATTTCTTGAAGCAAGGTATGGATCAGATAGCTAGCTCACTTTCTCTGGTTCTCATATTTTCACAAAATAAGTGAGTATTTTTAAAACTAGCCTGAACACTAATTTATTTTTGCAGGGCTCAGCAGGATAGCCTATTCTTTGCTCGCATTTTAATGCTGTAAGTTAAAATCTAATTGTATCTCCTATTTAATTTCTAAAGATTAGACTTCATCAATTCCTCACATCAGCTCTGCATTCACAGAGTGCCTTCCTTCCTCCTTCCTTTCTCTTCTTTGATCTCTCTATAGTTGGAACTTAACTTTGCAATGTCTTAGTGGCCAGTGAATGTTACTTATAAGATGATGAAAATGATACCTAAGATGATCCATGTTGTGAAATCCTGCCATTACTTATGCACAGATGAACCACACTGACTCATGCTTGAGCTGTAAGAACGGAACATGTCCTGGTCTGCTTGCAGAAGGCAGGAACAGTCATTATGCCAGGTAGTTAAATGCAGACGTTACACTAGATATTCTTGCTTGCTTGCTTCTGCTCAATGAGTAATTCACCTACTTGGAATAACCATGCATATTTTGGTAACATTGTTTCAAATGTTCCCACATTACCTGGATTTGACAGTTAATTATTAATGGAACTCCTATTAGTGTGTAGCAAATCTTTACCTTCTCAAAAACTGATTTTCCATTAACAATTAAAATAAATACTGCTTTACACTATTATTATATTTATACCCTGCCATTTTTCCCTTCTGAGGAACTCAGTGTGGCTCACATAATTCTCTTTTGCTTAATCTTTTCCTCACAACAACAACCCTGTGAGGTAGGTTGGGTTGAGGGTCTGTCACTGGTCCAAACTCACCCAGTTTGAGTGAGGACCAGAAACCTGATCATCTTAGTTCCAGTCAGATGCTTTTAACCACTACACCACACTGGCTTTCTATAGAATAAACACTTTTATGAAACACATTGAAAATACTTAATGAAAAGTAATGTTCACATTCACTAAGGTACCTTCAATCTGGATGCTTTCAATCCCCTAAAGTCAGAGATCATATAGGACAGAAAGAAAGGGAAGCAAAGGTTCCACTGCAGTCCTCATGCCCTGAATTATTTTAGCTAAGTGGGATACCTTAGAGCAGAAGGAAAGAGGCTAATGCACTAAGTTATCTTTAAATATGAATCAATGAAAACACATAATATTGCTTAAACTTGTAACCCCACCATTTAGGCAGCAAATTACATACTTTGTTTTAGTTCTACAGAAATATATATCCTTGATATTAAACTGTATTTTTTCTGCTGCTCCATATCTATCGGGGTGGTCAAAATGAAGCTCAGGGGCCACATGTGGCTGTATGAATTCCTTTTGCAGCTTTCTGCTTGCCAGCACAGGTGCCTGTTTGCAGCTCTCCAACATCTGACATTTACTGTATATGGCTCTTCCATTGAGCAAGTCTGACCACCCCAATATATATGTTAAAATAATATATTATTTTGCATTGTTAGCTTATTCAACTTGTTAAATCCTCACGCATTTTAATGGAAATGCACATTTGCCAGTGTTGTAACGGTCACCTAACACATTATAAACAACTTAAACTCCTGTCAATTTCAAAAGCCATCTGTGATTAAACATGAAGCTTGTAGGAGCAGGGCAGGAGGCAAAGCTGAAAATAATCCCAAAGTCCCAATGGGCAAGAACTTTCTGAAGATACTGAAGTTCCTAGATTGCAGTCACTGTGTAGTGCTTTAAAAATGCGCAGGTTAAAATATAATTCTTTTCTTCAGTGAAATCATAAATAAATTTCTTTTCCAGTGATATCTGCATTGCAAATGTTTCATATTAAGGATGGACTTGGTCACTTTTCAGGTAATGAAATCACAGGCTGAATATATTGTGCATACCAAACCTACATTTAGAGGCCGAAAGAGAGCACATAATAATTAATTTAAGTACTAAATGGCATCATATTGGATACTTGAAGAAAAGCATCAAAGAGGTTATGCCTTGCCCCTAAATATCTACAGTATGAACTTATAAAAAGCCACTGAAGTGTGCTCAAATGTACCTTGCTAGACCATTACAAGAAAATCTGGAAGAAAATTACATTACCGGTTTATTCACTTCATTGGCAATCAGATGAGAATGCTGATACCCAGTTGCAGTAGCAGATATGGTTGTTGTTCCAGATTTATGATGAACTAAAACAGTTTGTAAACCTAATAAAATTGGACAGTCAAAATGGAAAAAGGAGCATTTACTACCTGGTTAATCATCTGCACAGAGGAGTATAGAGGTTAACTGGACTTCAAAGTTACATATGTACACATTTTTGATGCCCTCTTGTTGATATATTCTTAAGCAAACTAAAAAAGACAGAAATTTTTGTCGAGAAAAATATTACATTCTCTCCAGGGTATTTCTTGAGATTAAAAAACAAATGAGCCAACATCAATCCCAGGAATCAAATCCCAGGAAGAAAATAAGTCCTACAGCAGGAAAGGTTTTAGACCCCCACACTAATGTCATCAAATATAACCAGTCCAATCAAATAAATTACATGGATAATATACTAGGACAATACCTTGCATTTTCTTTTGAGTGCTTCCATGATCTTTCAAAGACAGTTCCATTGGCATATTGGTCTCTATGCTTGCTAAGGAATATTTTGTTGATTCCCAGATAATATTAAGGGAACTAAAATTATCAAATTTATGCCCTTGTTGATCATAAACCTCCAGCTCCAATATTGGATTGCGATAATTTGAGATAGAAACCTAGAAATTAAATAATTTTACTTAGAAACTGGTAAAATTAGTCTTGTAATATATATGGGTAGAATCAAATGCAAACCATGTTGAATTGGAATCAAACATTAGATGTTTCTAGTTCTGCAGCATTTGTTTTTGAAGACAAGGAAAGGCAGTTCTAAGCTATTTTTGTAGATATTTCTAAGGTACCTGACTACCAGACTCAGAGGCTGGGGTCTATCATCATTCTTTACTCTTACCCCTTTTTTACATCAGACAGCTTTCATTCATAGAGTCACCATAAGTGGAAGACAACTTGACACAAGAACAAGCACTTACCCCTTGCTTGTTTTGATGAAGAAAAGGACAGGAGAGAAGTAGTTCAGGACTTGCATACTGAGGTGCCAAAGTGAGTCGCGAGGGAGTGGCACAGATCAACTTCATAACAGCAGGTTCCACAGCAGGAAAGGGGTTGGTAACGGTGGGCCTGTTTCCAATAGTTAATGAAACTACCTGCGTAAAAATATGACAAAATTAATGAAAATTAGAGCTGTGCTTCAGGAATGCTGATTTGGCATTACATCCCCTCTAATGAAAACTTCCTTTTTTCTGCAGAATTTAAAGAAGAAACATTAGGCGACCAAGAGTTTATGTTCCAATAATGACCTGCACTTCTGACTAATAAAGACATATCATTTTGACATTTATTTTCAGAGGCAGTTTAAATCGATTATCAAAGTACAACGGCTTCTTGTTTACAGCTATTTGATCCAACTTACCAATGCAAAATGAAAATTTAATTTTCAAGGTTTTGAAGGAGATGGAAGAGTTCTTTTTTTCTTCAAGAGAAGAAGGCTATAATGTACACATTCCACACATACTGATGTCTACTTTAAGAGTAATTAATTTAAATCTCAATCCTCATTTTTTCTTGCTGGGAAGAAGTGATCTGCTTACACAGTAAGAACACAACCTACAGCACTTTTCATGTCATTGTAAGTTATATGAATACTGGGGAGCAATTATTCAAGTTTTCTTGCTCCTGTGCAACATTCATTGATTTCAATTATGCTTGTACAGGAGATCCATGCATAACTCAGCAAAATGAATACTTGTGACTATGCATGATATCAAACCTAACAGTTATCATTTAGCATATCTTTCAATTTAATTAAATTAAAGATGACTTAAAGATAAATCATTCATAAGTTAGTCATATTGCTAATGAACATGACTAGCTGTGTTACAGCATGGACAGATGTGTAGATGCATACTATGCTTTGGACAGCATTAAACTTTGAGAAGCTCCTATAAATGACCAGTCTTGAAAAAGATCTGAGATGGCCAAATTGTAGGAACTGAACCTGCTGAGAAAGTTAGGTGGGCAAAATAAGCTGTTTGCCTCCAATTTGTAATTGTGCTTCTACACAATGTATCAGCAATTGTCTAGTAACCTCAAGGCTCTTTTATTGCTTATCTTTTCTATTGTTTTCCAGCTATATCTGCAGAACTTGGAAAAATATGAAAATTAGTCATTAAAGAAAAAAAACCAAGAGAGTTCAATTCCTTTTGCAAATAAGCAACAGTGTGTACATAGGAAATATGCTGAACGGTTCAAGCTATTAACACCTGTCCTGTAAATGTTATAAGTTATTATCAAGTATAGGTAAAGGTTTCCCCATGACATTAAAGTCCAGTCATGCCTGACTCTAGGGGGCAGTGCTCATCTCCGTTTCCTAGCCGAGGGAGCCAGCGTTTGTCCGCAGACAGTTTCCGTGGTCATGTGGCCGGCATGACTAAACACCGAAGTGCACGGAATGCTGTTACCTGCCCACCGAAGTGGTACCTTTTTATCTACTTGCATTTGCATGCTTTCGAACTGCAAGGTTGGCAGGAGCTGGGACGGAACAATGGGAATTCACCCCATTGTGCAGATTCGAACCGGTGACCTTTCAATCAACCAGCCCAGCAGCACAGCGGTTTAAACCACTGTGCCACCTGCATCCCTTATTATCAATTAAGGATGCTTAATTCTCAAACATGACATCAGATGCACCTGAATACATAAAGAGCAGTAATTAATTTATGCATTCAAGTTTTCTTCCAGTTTATTACTATATGTACCGTAAGCCTTTGAAAACCCTTTTAGCTTAGCTGTCAGCTAAAACAGTCTCTCTCAATTACTGTGGCTTCAGAGTCCAGCAATATATTACATGTAACTCAATATACTTATTTATTTAGAAAATTTCTATGCCGCCCCATTCGCCGAAGCCTCGGGGCGGCTTACAAATAAATTATAACATATAATTCACTCACTTGTTCCCCCAGAGCTTTGCAAGATGCTCTAACCCAGTGCTGGAAAGGATTCCTAGTTGTAGGGGGTCCTAGCAAGGACAAACCAACATGTTCTGGATCATCAGCAGTGATGTTCCTGAAGAACTTGGATGGCTCTTGAACCCATGGCCTGGGTCCACCTTCAAACAGAATGTCTTTGGAGGAGCCCAAAGTTACCAAGGCAGAAGAAACAGGATCAACAGTCTAGAAAGAAAAGTAACATGCACTGAGATATTATAAACCAAGCACAATATTAACAATTATCTCATGAGAGTATTATATCCATCAGGCATCTCATGTCTGAACTATGAGAAGAATAAACCATATAGCCTTCCCAGATACCTTGGCTGCTGTGAATTTTGTTATTTGCTATTTCAATGTCCTAAGGAATGGCAGTCTGATCTGTTAAAGGAAGACTTTAAAGTGTTTAAAGTATTTTAAACAAAAGCTTAGAATTCTTGAAATTAATAAGGGCATATATGGAATGTGCCAAACTGCAGTTAAATTAATGCAAAACGTAATTAAATAGCAGTCCTCAACACAGATATACTTCACCCAACTGATGTCTGCATATGGAGCGGACATCAACCACATCATCTCTTGTGTTGAACAGCTTGATGTTAGTACAATTTTTTAAAGCATTTTAGCAAACCATCAATGTCATAATTTCCTGCACTTAACTTTGAAGTGCAGGCTTCGAGTGAGGGGATGTCAGAACAAAAACTGCATTGATGTACTGGCTGTATAGCTAAGGCAGAGATTCTTCAGTCCTGACAAACAACACTGCCATCCTCCATCCACTGGGGTGCAGACACAACCACGCTTGCATGTGGAGTCCTGATTGTCCCCCTGCCACCCCTTTGGTCAAGACTTTTAGGCCAAGACTTTTCTCGTATCAGACTTTAACTGGCTCTGGAATTTTTGTTCTATGTGCTTTTTACATTAAGTTCTATATTGCATTTTCAAGGTTTTAATATTTTACAAAGTGTCCAGAGAGCTTTGGCTGCAGAGAACAGTGATAACATCAATTTGGGACGAGGCCACATTGAACTAAAGGGGATTTTTCTGTTGGGAATACACTTTTGCATAATCCAATGGGACATACTTTTTATATACACACTACAGCTGTAATTTATTTATTTAAACCATTTTTATGCCGGCCCATTCGCAAAAAGCCTCAGGGCGGCTTACAACATCAATAAATAAACACAAATAAACAGCCATATAATCATACTTAAAAAACCGGAAACATCTTGGCATGTACATAAAAACCCAATAAATACAATTCATAAATTAACAATTAAAATAACTTTTAAATAAAAAGGTTTTGGCCTGGCGCTGAAAAACAAATAATGACAGCGCCAGGTGGACCTCTCTGGGGAGGGCATTCGATAGGTGGGGCGCCACCGTAGAGAAGGCCCTCCTTCAGGTACTCACCCTCCTAATTTCTTTCACGGAGGGTTCCCAGAGAAGGGCCTCTGCTGTCGATTTCAAGGGGCAGGAGGGCATATATGGACGCAAGCGTTCCTTCGGATAACCAGGTCCCAAGCCGTTGAGGGCTTTATAGGTGATAACCAACACCTTGAATTGGGCCCGAACTTCAACTGGGAGCCAGTGGAGCTGGTGGAGAACTGGGGTTATATGGGAACAACGCCCAGTCCCCGTCAGCAACCTGGCAGCTCTGTTTTGCACCAACTGAAGTATCCTGACCGTCTTCAAGGGTAGCCCCACGTTGAGCGCATTACAGAAGTCTAATCAGGAAGTTACCAGTGCATGTGTCACTGTCACTCAAGCAGCTGATGGATCAGCCGAAGCTGAAGGAAAACGCTCCTTGCCACCGCCGTCTCCTGAGCTTCTAATGACAGCTCAGGGTCGAGGAGCACTCCCAAGCTGCAAACCTTGTCCCTAATAGGGAGTGCAACCCCATTCAGGAAAAGGTTCAGGTCCCCCACCATGAAGCCCGAACCACCTACCAACAGGACCTCCCTCTTGTCTGGACTGAGCTTCAGTTTATTGGCCCTCATCCAGCCCATTACCTCGGCCAGGCACCGGTTCAGTACAGCCACTGCCTCACCTGATTTGGTTGAAAACGAGAGGTAGAGCTGGGCATCATCAGCGTACTGATGATTCCGCAGCCCACACCTCCTGATGACCTCTCCCAGCGGTTTCATGTAGATGTTAAACAGCAAAGGGGACAAAATGGACCCCTGCGGAACTCCATGGCATAACTGCCATGGCACAGAGCCATAGTCCCCCAGCACCACCTTCTGGAATCGGCCATTGAGATAGGAGCGGAACCACCGCAAAGCGGTGCCTCCAACTCCCAATCCCGCTAGCCTATCCAGAAGGATACCATGCTCGATGGTATTGAAAGCCACTGAGAGGTCCAGGAGAACCAACAGGGACACACTCCCCCTGTCTCTCTCCCTGCACAGGTCATCGTACAGGGCGACCAAGGCAGATTCAGTACCATACCCGAGTCTGAAGCCGGACTGAAATGGGTCCAGAAAATCAGTTTCATCCAAGAGTGCTTGGAGTTGTCCCGCCACCACCCACTCTAACACCTTGCCCAAGAATGGGATGTTGGCCACTGGTCTATAATTGGTGGCTATCTCTGGATCCAGGGATGCCTTCTTTAGGACTGGCCGAACTACTGCCTCCTTTAAAGGGGCAGTACCCAGCCGTCCCTTAGAGAGGTGTTGACAACCTCCAGGATCCAGGTCCCTATCCCATCCTTGGCTTTCTTGAGTAGCCAAGATGGGCAAGGGTCCAGTAAGCAGGTGGTAGGACGTACTTGTCCAAGCACCTTGTCCATATACTGGTGGTAATGCATGCTAAGAAGATTCAAGCAATATACGCCTTCCCACCAAAAATCAGTGTTTCATTTTTTCACAATACAGTTATTGCAATGTCTCCATGGGAGTGGATCACATAATGTGGAGAGACCAATAGGTATCTAAGAACTGGTTCCAAATTCCTTTAAAAAACTAGCTTTGCACCATATTAAGAAATAGCTTGCACTTTTGGCAGTACTTATAGCTGTGAGTCTTCTTGGGTAAGCCTCCGTCAGCTTTGGGCATCTGGATCTTGTATTCTCCCTGGCAGAATTGTTCCAACTTCATCAGATTGGATAAGAACAGGGTTTTGACTAGGCTGTTCAAAGAAGTTGAGGTTCTTGTTTTTAAAGCATTCCCATGTTTTTGGCTGCATGTTTAGGGCCATTGTCCTGCCAGAAGGTGATTGTAACTGGAACAGTTTCTCTTGGAGGTGGCCTGTATTCAGCTACATCCATCTTGCCTCAAGTCTGACCAGTTTCCTAGGCCCTGATAAAGAAAAGCATTTGCAAGACAGCATCTATCACTATGCTTCTCCATGGGAATGGGATGGTTGGGGCAAAGAACTTTGTGCCATATATAGCATTTTGCAGCATGGACCAGAAAAGCTTTCCTGACATGTTTGTTTTGTCTCCTACATGCCTTTGGTAAACTGCAAAAGGGTTTGAGATCAGTTTGCTTGAAGCCATGGCTTCCTTCTCACCACTCTTCCATAAAGCCCAGCTTTGTAGACTTCCCAGGTATTCCCAGGCACACTTTCTCCAATTCTAGCCACAGAGTTCTCCAGCTCCTTCACAGATATCATTGGCCTCTTGGTGGCTTTTTTGACCAATGCCCTCTTTACCCAGTCTTTGGGGAACGGCTTTCTCAAGAAAGAGTTGTGGTTGAGTCATGATCTTTCCATTTTGTAATAATGGATTTCATGGTGCTCCAGCAGACGTGCATATGTAGGTATATTCCAACCCTGATTGCTGCTTCTGCACAACTTTCTGATAGCTCCATGGTCTGTGTGATACTGTTTGTTTTGGAATGTTTTCCAACATGCTCCAGAAATAGTTGTATTTAATCTGAGATCATATGGCAGTGGATTGTATGGGTGGACTCTGTCAAGTACTTACACTGACTTCTGGAGATAGAATGTTGCACATTTAGGCAAAGTGGATGGAAACTACATGACCCACGAGTGCCAGTTCGTTTTGTTCACTTAATGTTGTGCTACTATAGATATAAATTGTATATCAAGCGGTAACAATGTCAAATAAATCCATTACAGTTCCAGCTGTTAACATAACAACATGTGGAAAAGTCAAAAGAGGAAGGCAGGGATAAATACTGAATTACTGTCTTTTGGTTTAATCCTTTCTTAAGGCGGTTTATCCCCAAAACCAATAGGTATATAGAAGTGATGACATATGAGAACATATATCTTTGTATATAGTATAATAATAAAATCAAAAGAGTAACAGTACACTCAAGCAGCTTCTTAATGTACTAGTTAATGTTCAGTTGTTATGTTCTATCCCAACATTAACCTTTTCTAAGTATTTTTAAGTAGCACTAGGCTTTTTAAATCTAGTTATGTGCAATAGCTATTAACAGCTGCCTACTAAAATTTACACATCTTTTTCCTCCCTTTTTCCTCCCTCCCATACTTTAATATGGATGTATTCTGGTAAGGTTCGTGCCATTCAAGTAAGATGTTTAATGTTTCAAGGCAGCCAGCTGTCACACTTGCTGATATTTATAAAACATGACTTTATCACAATCTTTATTAATGCTGCTTTCTTATCATGATGATTATAACTTTGGGTAAATTAAATATTTGCATGTATGAAATATGAAACATGAACCTGAGCCACTTTATGACAATAGAAAGAAGACAGAAGTTCTACACAACTTCCAGAGAGTCAAATAGCACATTAAAACAATCTCTCATATTAAAATGTACCTGCATGTGGACAGATAGTGCCACAGGAAGAACACTGCTATTATCTAGACATTGTTAGACATTTAACAAACACTGAGCTTTTGCTGCATGGAATGCTTTTTCTGAGCATCTGAATATGATTTAGAACCAGTACGATATTCATTCCTCCTATGATATGATAGCTATTGCTCGGAACAACAGAGAGCTAGCAGACAGTGCTTCAAGCTTATTATATGTAAAAGGTGTTTTGTTAAGGCCTTTGTACACAAATGCTACACTTTTCAATTGAGCTATTAGTGCAATATTAATGAAAAGTCCATCACCTCAAAGGCGCATGCCTACAAGTAGTTGTACATATTGTAGTCTCTCCAACCTCTAAACACAATCTAGGAGTGTTTCAGGCAGAAAATGCCACAGATTGAAAAATACTGGAATGAAACCAATTTAATTCTGAGTGAAATCCTTTGTCAAGGACAAAAGAACATATATTTAAGACGTTTTAGCTCAATTCACCTGTTATCTTGCAGCAGTGCTTACTGAAGAATCAAAATGAGCTTTGTTAAGACCAACTAAAAATAGAAACTCCAGGCTTACTTTCAGTGGTACATGGGCAGCTATGGTGATACTGGCGCTGAGATGAATATGATCATGTGTATAGCTGACCACTAGAGCTGTGTATCCTTGGCCTTCAGCTTTTACTCTGACCCCACTGCAGTAGTCAGACGTTGGCTTTAGTCTCCCTGTTAAGAAAAATTTGCATGAACAGAGGATAAATGTACTTTTTGTATAATAAATTACAGTCTCACAAGATTTCATCATCACTTTGATTCACATAAAATCAAAAGCTAAATAAAATGAACATAAAGAAAATCAAGGAGCAGGAGAAAGAAACAGTCTGTATATTTTTAGAATTTATGACATTTATGTCAATTAACTTTGTCTTCAGTTCCTGTGTCACAATAAAAAGATTTCTGACTGGTATCAAGCATTTTTCTAGATAATAATATAGCTATGCTACAACTTTTTATTCCATTTATATAGCAAATGTGTTTATTCTACCAGATAGAGTGGGATGAGCAAGACACAAGGTCTTCTGAACAACTCATGGGCTTGGATTACTTCCAGCTTCATTTGAAAAATAAATGCATCTTGCTCCATGTCTGAAGAAATATGAAGCCCTGGTGATAAACACACTGCTCTGGGAAAGTAGTTCAAGTAATGTCTGGAAAGGCTAGTAGAAGCCATTTAACTCTGGATGAGATAATGTATAAACGGCTTCCATATTGCATAGTTTGTCATTTGGTAACACCTGGAGATCATTACTATTTATCTGAAATGAGGTTAAACTATCTAAGTTAAAGTTATGAATACTATTAGACATTTATAAACATTTGCTATTCACAATAGAAACATTAACATATCAATAAGCAGGTTATATATTTGTCTTTCTATTTATCAGAAACACTGAAATGAATGAATTCATTTTCAATCACCTGGAAATGGACTGAACACCCCACGATTTTCAATATCGACAACTAAATCAAAATGTGAACAGTCACTCAAGGTGACCATCTGACCAGTTTCTTGATTCATTAAGCCATTAATCCTCAGAGGCAGCTCCAGGATCTCACCCACACGGGCCTCAACTCGACATGGGATGAACTCCATGCCACTCGGTTCTGTCACGTATACCTAAGGAAGAGTAATGGGATTAGACACACAGGCAGATAGAAATAATGAACAGAATCTGGGCTGCAAAATTCAAAACCCTAAAAGGAACTTCCCTATTTTCAGCATCCCTTACTTGCACCAAAGTATCACTTCTGACATGATAAATGTCCTACTTATGTTTGAAAAACTTGTTTCACAAATGCAAGTTTGTCAAAATGATATGACAAAAATGCCATGCAAAACTCTTCCATACACCTTTAATTATGAATATGCATAAATAAATAAAAATATCCTCAGCAGGTGGCTCAGAACAAAACAAAGTCAGTGCAGGTCTGATATCAACAGGCAGTGAGTTTGTTCTACAGAGAGGAAGCAACTTGTGAGAGTTCTCCATGATGAATTTTAAGAATCTTTAACTTTGCTATTTGTCAAAAAAAGTATATTGCCATTAACAGGAACACAGATTAACAAGTTTAACATTTATTAATAAGCTGGGCATATTTCTGGGAATCTAAATATTTGAGATCCAGTGCGGTGTAGTGTGGGACTGGGACTCAGATGACCTGGGTTCTAGTCCCTGCTCAGCCATGGAGCCAACTGGATGACTTTGGGCCAGTCACTCTCTCAGCCCAACCTACTGCACAGGGTGGTTGTGGGGATCGGATTGAGAGGAGGAGAAGGAGATGAAGTAAGCCGCTTTGAACTGATGCGAGCCACTTCTGAAAGAAAAAAGGTGGGATATTAAATAAATAAATAAATGTATCACTCTCTTTTGTCATCACATACTGACAGTGAAAGTAAGCCACATTTCTATCATGAAAGAGGAAATTCCTCTTGATTTCTTTCATTATTATTTGTGGCTCCTTGATCAAGGGCAGAGGAAGATATAGTAATTATGTTTTCAAGAAGGTATACATAAAACATATGCCAAGATCCTTTTTTGGGAGGGGGGAATAGAAATGATAAACGAAATTGGTTTCAACGCTTAATGCATGCAGAGGCAGCCTGGTGCCTTTCAGATGTTCTGGGCTTTATAGACTTTAGGCTCTGGTGAACAAGGCCAATGGTCAGGAATTATGGGGGCTGCAGTCCACAGCATCTGGTTGCCTGCTGCTGACCCAATACGTCAAACGTAGTCTATTCCAGATATGAATGTCCACAGTTCATTTCATGCAGTAATGTGCATGCAGCCTGCAACTACCTGGGGCAGCCCATAGACTGCATTAGTAACTGCAAAAGACGTAGAATAGAAAAAAATATCTCTGGTCACTTTCTCAAGCAACAAAGAGGAATATGTGACCCAGTGTGGTGTAGTGGTTAAGAGCATGGGACTGGGACTCAGGCGATCTGGGTTCGAGTCCCCGCTCAGCCGTGGAGCCAACTGGGTGACTTTGGGCCAGTCACAGACTCTCAGCCCAGCCTACCTCACAGGGTTGTTGCTGTGGGGATAAGATGGAGGAGGAGATGTAAGCTGCCTTGAGCCCTTTGTAGGAAAAAGGTAGGATATAAATCCGAAAATAAATAAATAAATAAATAAATAAATATTCAATAATTAAGCAGCAGTTTTTAAATTTCTTTTCTTTCCAAATCACATGGGAGTGACTGCCCAGTACTAATGCTATTGTCACCAATGGCTGAAGGTACACTGCCAGGAGAAATATAATCTATTTAACTAATCATGGCTAGTAGGAAAGGAATTCTGCCACATGATCCAGTCCCTCCCTCTCTCCATTTACTTATTTAAAATATTTATAATGTTGTCTATAAATGCTATGTAGTCCTTCAACATGGTTTAAACATTAAAAACAATGTAAGAAAAAACTAAAAACAGCACATGATCAATTACAAATTCAACAATAACGTTTTACAAAATTCAAATTGATCAGGTGAATGACAAGATATTTAAAGCACAAAGGTATTTAAAGTACACAATGAGAAAACTGGGTGAATTTCCAACAGGAAGGAGCTATATAGTGCTGGGGCCTCCACTTAAAAGGTCTTGTCTTATGCCCGCTAACTTCATGGACTTTACCAGCAGGCTTACAAGCAAGGATTTAAATGCCAATCTTAGGGACTGGAAATAGTCATATGGATGCAGGGAGTACATCCAATAAACTGCAAGTTTTCCTGAAGTTCTCTATCAGAGTCGTGGACCACAGGACTCTCTCGAGAAAGAGAAAACATGTAGTAGATGTGGAGGGTGGGGTATATTTACAGAGGATGCAACAGTCATAAGATGCTGAATTCCAATTTAAATAAAGCTTACGCTTAGTGACTAGGGCAGCATACTGCATGAAACTAGACTTCAAGCATTCTCTCTCTCTCTCTCTCTCTCTCTATATATATATATATATATATAGAGAGAGAGAGAGAGAGAGAGAGAGGACTTCTCCAGACTAAAATATATATATATGACTCCAGACTAAATCTCCTAAAACCCAGCTTCCCAGTTGTTGTTTTTTATTCGAAAAAAAATTTAAACAAAAATAAAAGTTAGAAGGTCCAGGGAGTCTGGTGGGCATAAACAGAGGTGCCAGCGCATTTGCATTCCTGGGTTTCATGATGGAGACCTCAGGCTTACAGACGTGTGAATGGGGCAGAACTGTGGTCAATCACACTTAATTATATTGACTATATGTCTACAAGGTGCTCACATGAATGAGGGCTCCTCCCTTCCAGTGGAAGGAAGCAGAATACTTTCTATGCACACCCAAGAATTTGCTGTACTGCTTCTCATTAAAGCATTAGGACTCTTGAATGCACAACAGGTTTTGTGTCTGTGCGAGAGCTCACTGTGGATTGTGAGTGGGGAGATCTTCTATAACATATTTTCTGAAACATACACGTGGAACTGGTATATCAAACAAGGGGTAAACAGATGCTTGAGTGGTATATTTTATTCCTTGCTATCACTAAAGAAACCATCACAGATGGATTGCAACATTTCATAACAACTGCTTGATAAAAGCTTTTCATTTGGTGTGTCTAACTTTTCAAGCCATCTGTCTACTGCTTCAGGTTAAATTGTGGACCATATGGTACGGTGTTAAAATTGTAATCCTTATGGAACATATAGATGACTTGCATAACCTGATAATCAAGGTCAGGAGACAGATGCTTACTTCAAACACAAGATGTAAAGCTTGAGCAGAGACAGATAAAATCTTAAATTGAAAAGCTCATTTCATTTAATGCTTGCTCCTGCAAGTTCAAATGGGATGAAATGCATTTGTATTGCTATGTGCTCTGAATCATGAATCTACAAGTAAAGCTTTAATTAAACACATCATTTCTGTGCTTCCCACAGGCAACTAGCATTTGCTGAAAACTGTCATCTTTGGGATGCATCAGGATGAGACCATAAACTAAACTCTGTCTTGCTTTAATAATGATTTAACAAGCAGGAGACCATTACAACTTAGTATCTCTCTGCTACATTTAATGTCCATTTAAAAGTAGATTTGGATAGATAGACGTCCTACTTAAAACAGATTGAGAGTCAACTGTTACTGGAGTTGAAGACACTGCAGATGCAACTTAGGGCAGTTACAGCAAGCAAGACCTGTTTAGAAATACATTTCAAGAAACATGTATTACTTTTATACTATAAATGGTTCTTTAATATCTGGCTTTTCAGTTTGGGTCATATTGCATATTCCTGAAAAATACAGCCAAGCAAAAGGTTTGTTAGGAATCAAAATCAGAATACAGATTTGTTGAGATTCCAATTGTTCTCCATGATCAGAATTGCAGGTAGAGGCTATAGAAGGACACCCTCCTTCTATTGCTACATTAGATCTGGTCTGGGTAGTGCTATGTATCTGATGTAAGCATGGAAGCCCAAATGAAAAAGTCTCTTTATGACTTCACATATACAAAACATGTGCTGGATTCAAGGTTATAAAGAGCCATGCCAGGCAGATAATGTAACTGCTTGAGGTTGGCAGTTCTACTGGAGACAGTTAAATCTCCCCTCTCCTTTTACACGGTACTTTAAATGATCTGAAGTTAAATGCCACAATGCTTCTTTTTAAATTTATTTATTTATTTATTAAAACATTTTTATGCCGCCCCATTCGCCGAAGCCTCGGGGCGGCTTACAACATAGATAAAACAATAAGTTAAAATATCCATATAAAACAATCTTAATTAAAACACACATTATAAAATAAGCCGCCCTGGGCAGATAAAATTCAATTGTATTTAGCATTTAAAATGTTGCTTAAATAAAAAGGTCTTAGCCTGGCGCCGAAAAACAAATAACGACGGCGCCAGGCGGACCTCTCTGGGGAGCGCATTCCATGACTTAGGCGCCACCGCTGAGAAAGCCCTTCTCCGAGTAGCCACCCTCCTAATTTCTCTCACGGAGGGCTCCCGGAGAAGGGCCTCTCCCGCCGATCTCAGGGGGCGACTGGGCAAATATGGATGTAAGCGCTCCTTCAGGTAATGCACTTGATTCATATGAAACATAAAGGGCTGACTATCTTGGGAATTAATATGGGCTAAATTTGCCTTCAGAAAGCAGAGTAGTTAGATCTGTATTCCCTGAAGGAACATTCACAAATATGTGGTGAAAAGCATTAGTGTTATTTCATTACAGAAAATACCAATTACCTAGCAAATGTGGGTTGGAATCTGAAGGGCTGAGTGAGCTCCATGCTAACTTAGCCTTCCAACCACATAATTTGACTCTTTTGAGAGAACATGCATACGGTTATGCTGTGGGGTTGCATATGCATCACGTTTGTTTGATGTGGAAAGCTCTGACAGAGTCAGTCATTTACACTGAAGACTAGAAGGGAGGGGAGAAATAAAATCCAGTATCTCAACAGGTGATAGGTGCACATAACCACCTGTTTGGCAGGTGAGTGTGCAGAAGTCCTCATATACAGCAGTGATCAATCATTATATTTAGCTGCAGCTAATGATCAGGAACACCCAGATTCACAGTTCCACTACATGAGAAAACAGATAATCCGGTAGACCTATTAAGAATCCTACATCTCCTCTTCCTGCCGAAGAAGATTCAGGGAAGTGTCTATATTTTGCCAATACACTTGCAAGTCTTTGAGCTAAGGGAGCAGAGGCTTTAATGTCCTTCATTAAACCTCTGTAGGATTATGGTTAGCATTTTCTAGACATGTAAGCTCTTATACTGTAGTTTGACCATGGAGAAAACACAGTATCATTTCTATCTGATATCTGGCTATATAAAAGGAACTCAGATTATAATTTTGGGGTGTCCTAAACTTTCAAATTCTACCTTGTTTCTCCACCTGTATTGCACTTTGTATGAAATACAGCTGCTGCTGCTCTTCCTCCTCCTCTTCTGTTTAAACATGCAAATAAATGATTGCACCCTAAGTCATCGAAGCCCCCTCTAGTAAGAATAGAGAAAAACAATCCAAGATTTCCTGTTTGCTCCAAAGAAGACCGAGGGCCTCAGAGCACCTCTGTGTGGAAGCACAACATGCCTTCTCTGCAGCTGTTTACCTTCATTTCTCCATAATGCAAAGAATTCTGGACATCGCTGGCACGTATAATACTGACACCAATCTCATTCCCAGTTGTCATTACTCCCTTCACTGTAACTGTAGCAACATTTTGGCTAGATGAAGACCAAGTGAAATTGCCACTTCCACCACGAGCCTAGATCATACAAAAAGAAGAAAAAAATCCAAACATTAATTTCATTATAGAGTGTAATTGGCTTAATTTATTCCTGTAAACAACTACCCTATTAATCACTGAAACAATTGCAAGAGGATAGTCCAGCATAACATTTCTGGTTAGAAATTTACAGAAAAAAAACCTTTCTGATCCACTAAAAACATCAACAACTGTATCTGAATCTACTATTTTTTTACACACCAATCCTCCTCCTTTGCTACGCCATACCGTCTCATTGTTCCTTTCCTGAAAAATTCTGATTCCCAGATATATTGGTGATTAATAGGGCCTCCATGTCAGTGTACCACTTCACATTTCAGCACACAAGAGGCCCAGCTTATAGAACTGCTGCATTTTTTTCCTTTTACTGAAAGCTTGAGACAGCCAACTGAATGGTTTTAAGTCTCAGTACAGCTAACTTGTGCACTGTTTGAAAGCGTTTTCTACCAATGGGAATTGCTGGGAAGTACAAATGGCAAAAGAGGGCAGAGAAAAGGAAGAAAATTGATTTCTTGCTGTCATCATGTCTTTATTTTTAGCCTAAAGGGGAGGCTAGCTTTGTATAATCTTGGCTCCAGAAATTCATCAGAAGTTGACATTCATGAACAACAATAAAGGGTCCTTGTATTTACTCCATTGAGCCTTACTGAAGTCCACGCAGTTTCCATATAACATCCGTAGTCTCTCCAAGGATCCATTAGCTGAAATCCATGTAATCAGGTCTATGTCCTTTGCTAAAATCAAAACTATTTTAAAGAAAAGCTTCAAAAGCTTAACTTCATTTTTGTGGGCTGAGCAAGAAAATGCAACCCACACTGTTTTGAGAGCATATGACTATGGAAAGATGAACGACCTTGCACATTAAGCAGCAGGACAGCTTGGTATGCTATTGATGGCAGGGATGTATACCATCTGTTTCAGCTTCGTAGCTGTATAGCAATCAGGAAGAAGAGAGCTTCCCCACCATCCAAAGTAGCACATTAATCTGCCAATCTGATCAGTGTATTTAATTATGGCGACAGGGAAAAAAAACAGTAACAGCACAATCTATTCCCCCACAGACAACAAATCATCCCTCTCCCTTGCCTGTCTTCAGGATGCAGAATTCCTCTCCTCAGCTGTGTCCCTGGGCCTGGTCCCTGCCTGCACATGCAGCAGGGCTGCGCAGGTCAGGAATAACATGCTGCAGAATGATTCTAAAAAGCATTATGCTGCCCAAACCAGAAACAAAATAAAAAAGTCAATGATATAATCACATTTAAGAAAATAATCTTCCCCTTTAGTTTCCTGGTCCAAACTGTTCAAAGAATTAAGTATATTGAACATGATGAACACAATTAAATCCATTTTGTCCCTTGCGGGAATTGTTAGATTATACATTTGCCAAATACTGTGATGGCCAATTTCCGTGGCTTAACAATCCTAGAACCAGAATCTGTCATTAAAATATGAAGTAAACAACATATTTCACTTTATTATACATTCTTTGATCTGAACTGGAAGGAAAAAAGGGCTGTATTCAGTGCTGACTTTACCTTGCCAAAGTGCTTCCTCTTGTGTAACACAGGACACCCAGTTTTTATTGGCCATTTCCCGGACAGCCCCAGAATCCTCAGGGATTGCTTCCCATAGAGGATAGGCTTGTGATGGGAAAGATCTATCACAATCAGGCTCCATGACTTGCACAAGAGGAAACACTTACTGCTAAGGCAAAGCCACTATTGGATACAAGCTGGAGTCCACTGTATCTCAAAGCTGTAAGAAACAGTTTCACGGTGCACTCTAGTCAGAATCAAGAAGGCCTGTGTTCAGTGAGACTTACTTCCTACTACTCCTGTATGAATTCAGTCAATCTGATTAAAGCTAACTTTATTTTTTCTAACATTGGTAACTAAGTTCTTGACCAGAACAACCTCCCACCCTTCAGTAATTCTTAGATGTCAACAAACAGTTGTCATTTTTTCAAAGTATGTTTCATGTTGTTGTCTCTTTTGAAGGAAACCTTTCCTCTAGACAGAGGATGAACATCTCTGTAGACAATCGCAAAGGCTTTCACAACTGTAATTGGGAAAGAAAGAGCGAGCGAGCATAACAGAATTTATTTTCTCTGAAGAAATTCTAAGGAAGAGTAGCTCTGGTTATTCCTTAGAAATGGAGACAGCATGAAAAGTGCAGTAGAAAAGGCATGGTTGTAAGATTTACTATACGTAAAGGCACAGTCTTTGCCTTCCAATAATAATGTTATTGCAATAGTGAGGGAAACAAAAGGAAGTGAAGTATGTATGTCCCTGCCAGTGTTCTAAGGAGAAATTCATTCTTCTCTGAATATCTTCTTGGCAATCTTCCTATCTGCTAACTTATGGAACTCACATGCACTAAACCATAAGCATTTGTTGTTGCTGCTGTTGTTTTCCATTTGTTACTTGCCACTCCCAAAGATTATGTTCTGCAATCATACTTAGTTTGAAAGGAAGGCTCCTTAATCATAAGAATGTGCCATAAAACAAAACGGAGGGTTTAAAGCAGCAGGTGTCAAATTACAGCCCAACAGTGACACAATTCCATTTTCTAATAGAAATAGGGTTGTAGCCTCAAAAGGTAATAATGCACACAAGGATCATAAAGTGCCCAATAGCTAAGCTGCCTGTTTTGTGCATTTAGATGGCTTTCGACACTTACCTTTATTGTATACTGATAGGATCCTGCTTTTGGTTGCCATGGAAACGTCAAAATACTTGGTGCAAGAGTAATGGGACCATAAATGTCTACTTCTTGTTCGTTTTGTACAGGAACGGGCAATGTGTGAACACCTCCATCCTATTAAAAACATATTCAATTATATATTTGAAAAAATAAATCTCCATCTTAAGAGAAGCACTGTCAGGAAAAAAGTAGGGCTACTTCATATATTACTTTTCCTGCCATAGTCACACATGCATACCTCTGCATTAAACATACTATGGATTCTTTTAAGTATAACTGATAGCAAGACTATGGTTTGGGCACGAGGCATTTCCTGAGCAGACGTTGATCAACGGAGGCTCTTCTCTAGGGGCACCACTTTCTGCACTTGCTGTATTGTCACACTTCATTTATAGCCTGCCTCTTTTCCTCTTGTGCGAAACTGAAGATGGCTTACATAGCTCCATTGTATCCTCACGACAACAATCCTGTGAGGCAGGTTGGGCTGAGAGCTCATAACTGACCCAAAACCACCCATCTTCATGGCTCAGTGGGAACTAGAACCTGGCCCCCCACTCCAGTACTCTCACCCCCACCCCACGCCGGCTTTCCCTTAGGTGGGCAACAACTGGAGATGGCAACTGCTCTGCACAATCAAGCAGCCCACCAATTTGAATATTCAAGTGGCAACTGCGGCTTATGAACACATCCAAACCCAGTGAAGATGGGTTACGGAATTATTAATAAGCCACTCACAACCCTAAAACAGCCTATGGGGTTAGATAACATGACAAGCCATGGCTGCAGCTTGATTAATCAAAAGCTGCCCAGCACTCACTGCAAGCCACCATGGCTTAAATAATCCATGGCTAGGTGCAGTAGTCACAGGAAACTGGCCCCTACTTTCTTGGCTGTGGCACTACATTTTGCCCTGAACCCAGTTTTATGCTGCTTCAGCACCAGACATAGATCTTGTTTTCCCAGGCCTTCTAAAATGTTACTGGAATTCAGTTTTATCTGCTGCTGTGATGCTTTCAGCCTTTTATTGCCTCCATTTGTGCTACTGTGTTGGTAGGTTGTGTTATGGAAGTTAGCCAAAGGGCAAGATTAGGAATGTGTGAGAATTTTGTTTCACTTGGGTTTTGACAAGTTTATTCAAATTCCAGTAACAATTATTCCTATAGACCAAAAAGGACTTCAGAGTAAAAGAAAATTATATGGGGGAAAGCAAACTGGACAGATCTTTGAGGGCTTAGTTTTAAAAGTCTGGGACTGAATATCTACATATTCAACCATACTAGAGCTGCCACCTCTTTTTTTCTGACGGGACGCTCAACTTTAACAGCTGCATAACAGGCAAATACATCATGGGTTCTCTGTGCTGCTTCTATTGAATTTGACTGGGCAGATAGAGGAACATTTCATTTCAGCTTATTTTTTTTTAAATAAGGATTTGCCAAAATTTGCTAATCTCCTATTTGGGAGTATAAGCACTTCAGATACAGGAAAATATGGATATTTGAGAATATAAATCTATTTCCTATATGTAAATATATTTAAATATATGCATAGGCTAACAAGTTAAAACAATAGAAGTTGCCTGATTTCTGTGGGAAAATGTATTTGTGCCACCATATAAAATGGGAGAAAATACATGGTGCTGGCATGAAGATATGCGTTCTTGTCCATAATTCATAGAAACATAGAAACAGAGCGAGTCAGAAAGGGCCTCCTGGGCCACCTAGTCTGACCTCTGGCACCAGCCGGCTCCACTCATGACATGCCCACCATGTGCATGTCCAGCCTATCCTTGAACACCCACATCGATGTGGCCTCAATGACCTCTCCACCATGTTTAGGCTGATTTACTTCCATGTATGTCAGCGTAGCATTATAGTTACACACATACAATTATTAATCTATTATACAATTTTGTTCACAAGTAAAATTAAATGGTGGGAAAAAGAAACCAACTCTATATTTTTCCAACAGCTACAACATTTAACATTCACATCCACTAAATATTACAAAAGAAAGAAGTGCATTTAAAGAAGAGTTGCTTTTCTCTTGCCAGAAATGGCACCTTCTGGACTCCAAACTGGCAATTCTATTGCCATGTACAACCACTTCCTTCCAACTAAGAAACTCTCTCCACAATCAATCTGCTCACAAGCATGGAGGGTAGCCAAAATCTGTGGCCCTAAGTGGCTTCTATTTCTTGGCTAGAGAGGTGAGACTTCAGTTCCTGTGGAGAGCTGTTCGCAAGATAATTTCAGACCAATCATTTTGCCTGTGTCAGCACTTCAGAACTTCTGCGATGGTCATGTAGCCCTTCTAATATTTAAGTGATAAAGTGTTAAGTATGACCAAAACTTGTTTGTAACAAGTACCATTACTGTATGATCATAAATCACTGTGGAAGTCTTTTGACAGAAGAACAGGATAGACATGCTTAGAATAAACAAACAGACTGGTGTGAGGAAAACCTTGTGTATCAAATGGAATAACATAAACTTTAATTGTTAAGTTTGTCAGTACTGCAACTTGCTTATTAATAATGCCAAATCCAACCTGTACAAAATACAGCAAGACATGATCTAATATTTATTATTTATTGGTGACAAAGAAGTAGTTTTGGATAACTTCTGATCCACCACCGATGCATTAGAACTGTTCTAATCTTGTCAGGAGAAGATCCTGGATTAGTCACTTTCCAGGAAACAACAGCTGTGTTTCAACAACATCTTAGCCATATTTTAGTTGTTCTTGTGTCACCAGTAATACCTGTACAGGGCCTGGCCTAGGTCTTTACACATGAACTTAATGAACTATCAGAACTAGAGTTGTGTATGTGCATGTTTCTTTTATAGATTTCCTGTAGTTTTGATGCCTTTTATTGTCCTGTATTTATCAACAAAGGTACCGTTTTGCTCTATCACTATAGTTATTGATTTAAACAAGACTTACATGGGGATATATTGTAGATCTGTAATTCAAAATTCTGGGCTACTAGGGTGGAATATAAATGCAAATAATAAATAAATAATAAATAAAAGGTAATGAGAAGAATTTCAATCAATAGGGGCTATTTTCGAGTAAATAAATGCACGATTAAGTTGAAGAGTCATCTCAATTTCTATTAAACAAGTCCCGTTGATGTGGTTGGGTCCTGACCCCCCTTGTACCTATTGGGTACAAGGCTTCAGCTGGAAACAAATCCAAGTCAAGCAGTTTCTCTTCAAAGAGACATACCTGATCGACAATAGATGTTAATGAAGCACTTAAAATGGTGTGGCCATCCTTTATTGCTTTCACATAATGATAGGAACCATTCAGAGAGGACTGGAGAACCCTGAAATATTCTTCTGATAAGTATGCTTCAATTCTGAGATTCTGAAATCAAAAGGGTAGTGCAATTACTGCACATATAAAAATATACCCTGCATAAAGCACAAGTTGATATATGAAGGAGCGATAACAGAATATATGGCATTTCTAGTTTTGTGTTTGCCATAAGCCAAAATTTCCACCCCTGACACATGCCATTGCTACTAAGTGAAGAACCTCTTCTTATTCATACAGACCTGCATCTAATTTCAATTTAGGATTTCCATCTTAGGAACTAAAATGTACAACAAATGTTGATATATAGTTCAATGGATTAAACCAACTTGCTTAATATTACAAATGGTATAGTAACTATCAAAACAAGGAATCAACCAAGCTTTAAGTTTAAATGTTAATAATCAATTTCTGTATATTATTTCACCCTGTTTTCAACTAGGGTGGCCTCTTGTTTTGCTTGCTATGCATTTAATTTATTACCAATAGTAGAAAAATTCACTGGCTTATTTTAAGCATAACAGCCTACTACTAATGACTCAGGAGAAAGACTAAGTAAAAAAAGCAACTAAAAAATAAGCTGTATTTTTATAATGTGGCCCCAGGATTCCAGTTTATTAGCCTTGTTCTGGTGCTAAGTCACTGTTGTATGAGTCATCCACTTCGAAAACTTCCATTAAGCAGGCCATGGTTTGCATTTTGAATGCTATTTGTGCATATCATATTATAGAAGCAAATTGGTAGCTGAAAACTATGTACTGCCAGCATGATCTCCACAAATCATACTAAAACTATGCTTCCAATTTGTGCAAACTGTGGAAATTTACACAATGTACACAAATGTACACAAATTTCCTTAGCATTAAAAATATGCAAGCCACAGCCAATCTTGGAGTCTATGGAAAACATTTCAACTTGGCCTTCTTCCAGTCACTGGCAAGAAGCCCACCAACTCGAATGAGCTAGACTTCACAGCATCAGCACATACCTACCAGTAACCCTAATTTAAAGGAACAGAAAAATGGATTTTAGTTATTCATAATTTTAATAATTCATAATTTAATAATTTTCATGTTATTATTTTTAATTTAATAATTTAAAATAACAGAAAAGGGTTCACTCAACACACTGAGCTACTCTGTAAATAATAACAGTGGTTTGCCTGTTCATGGAACAAACCATGGTGAAACTGACAGATGGTCAGTGTACTGTGGTTTATTCTTTTTCTCCTTCCCCTCTAGTCCTCCTAGTGTCCTTCATGGCAGAATTGCCTCCCATTTCCACTTGTCTCTTTAGTTTACCACCATGTTGCAGCCTACCCTCTATAATTGCTGTCCCTTTAGTTTGCCACCTTTTTCCATTTTTCAAAGACTCACAAATGAGCAATTGGGGTGAGATTTTGTCCCAGACCCAGAAATATTAGCAAATGTCTTCATATATTTGGACTGCCTTTTACTTTGCCATTTAAGCGTTTCTCCTCTAGCTCCCTTCCTAATTTAAAAACCAATAGAAAAATCCTATAATATTTGACATTTTTATTAGATATAGCCCAAATTCAGTTAAGAGAAAATGTACACCTGTATTTCACTTACATCAGATAAATGCAACTTATTACTTGATTTATCATACACTTCAATGGTGATTTCATATAGCCTTTCTGTTTCCAGGACCCACTTGTCGCCAGGACGAACTGAAAATCCTACAACACGTAAAAGGCATTTTAAAAGGATATGAGGTAGGAAAACACATTTCATATCAGAATAATACTTTGAATAATATTTATTCTATCAAAATATTTATTAGGAAAATTTGTTTGTTATAACAGGATTCTATTATTCAGCTGATTAGATTTTGCCAAACTAAAAAATCAGCAATCACCAGATTCTGCAACTAAAGTACATTATTTTTAATTTGTTAATTTAAATTTTATTGTTTCAGTTTTCAGGAACACAAAAATAAAGGATTAATAAAAAGCAATGCATCTTCAAAAGCAGAGCAAATAATACTTCTAAATAAAAGCCCATATTCTAAAATGTTTTACATTGCTTAAACAAATAGTTTTTCATTCATTGCCAATAAATAAATGAATAAATAAATAAATATGCATATGGCGCTATTAACTGAAAAGGTCTTATTATGGTATACTACTGGCCTTACTGCCTAGAGCATGGAAACCCACAAAGGGGCAGATGAGGGCATACAAAATACATAGCTACATTCATATTGGAGGCGATGCTTAATTATGCAAATCATATTCACTCAGGCTGCAATCCTGTTCGGTCAGAAAAAGTCCTACAATTCCCACCATCTCCCAGCCAGCTATACTGCCACATTTGCAAACAGAGCTGGAAACATGTGAAACTTAAGAAAAGGCAACTATAAGACGCGAAAGACATCAAACAATTGTGTCAAAACAAACATGGCCAAGTTTCTACTTAGCTCAGACAAATTATGTTTGGACACATGGAAGTTGGGACTGTGGGAAAGCCCAGAATGAGCACAAGCCCCTGTACTTGCAAAGGGTTGACTCAATGTTTGGCAGGGCACATAGTTGTAAATTTATTGAAAAGAAGATTCCTCGGTATTGATATTTCAGATTGAAATGTAATTGTTAGCACTACACATTTCAGAGTCATCAATCAGCCACTCACGAAGGAATGAATTATAGGAAATAAATGCCAATACTCTATAGCAAACAAATAATTGTGGAGGTATTTAGGTAAATGATTACTAAATGAGTGCATGAGTTTATCCCCAAAGTTAACAAGAAAAACCATCTGCTTAGCACTGAACATCGAATACTAACCTAAGTATCCTGGATCCACAACATAAATGGTGCCATTTGGTAATTTGGAAGCACCTTGCATAGAAATGCTTGGAAAACAGTCAAGGAATTAAGGTTTTGTTAAAATAAAGATTAGATTTCAATAATTTAAAAGTAATGCATTATTTCACTAAAATCTATAAAAGGGATGACCCCCATAACTAACAGTACTCAAAAACTTGTTCCTGCTTGTTATTTTTAACTGTATTTTAAACACACCACAATTTCTTGGGTTTGCATTCAACAGGCAAGTATCATTTAAAAATGAGAAGAAAGCTTCCAAACACTTCCCCATGGCTGAAAAACAAGAGAATACCAGAAAAGTGAGTACACAAGCTCGGTAATGGCTTGTTCATTGAGTCAAGAACCTCGATCTTCCATTATTAAACCTGTGCCTTTTATCATTATATTTACATTCTTATGCACACTGAACTACAAACAAATGAAATAAACGGTGGAGGCAGTATGTTTGACAGTACGGCAATTAAGGCAGAAAAACACCAGCAGAGGGAATAAGGATAACTTGCAACTCTGGAGGAGTCCATGTCCATAACCTACATGGCATTTTACTCAACCGGAGCAAAAAGCGTGGCCAGGATCACACATCAGCTCCTGTATCTTTTGAAGACTCCAGGCAACTGTTACAGCAGCTATCAGGGTGGTTGAGGCACCCCAGAGAGCCCCTTTCCACCCTCCCAATGCCAGTGTAACCTGGCACAGACCACTTGCCCACTCACTCTGTGGATGCTACAGGAGAACCAGGAAACAGACTGGGCAGGGATGCCAGAGCAACGTCCCCATTGCTCTCTGGTGTTTGAGGAAGCTGGTGATAGCCTGCTCCTTAATGAGCAGGAGTGGCGGAGTTACTGAGAAGCTGGAAGGGAGCTCTCTGCAGGTGCCTGCTGCTATTGCTTTGGACAGCTGCTGCCACAGTCGAGGGATTTCTGAACACATGCCAGCCAGTGCTCTGGCTCCTATAATTGCATCGAGCTTCGGGGCTGAAGGAGAAAATCAGTCAGACCGGAAAACGCCATGCAGAAAGGATATTTTTGTGGGAAAGTACAACATTACTCTGACCCCGCTGCAATGCAGTAACAGTGGACGTTGCCTGGTTCAGCTTGGCAACAGGCCAGGCAGGATCTCCCCCCGGGCTGAGGGTGTCATTGCGAAGCTGCAGTTCGTAGTGGTCGGAAGGCATCAATAACTCTGCAGAGAAAGCAAGAGGGCACAAGAAGCAATGAAACGAGAAAGGTGTCAATATTTGGATCCTATCAATACAAAAGAAAATCAACTCACCGATAACTTCGTGCTTAGCACATAAACTTTTAAAGAAAGCATTTATTGTACTAAACAATAGGTACAATTTAATCTGGATGCCTGCCACTCTATGAACACACAGAATGATGGGCATCCAGTGTTCGGCAGAAGGAGCTTGGAAGTAACATTTACTTCCAAACTCCTGCTGCTTGGCAAACCACTTAGATGGCTGATTTCAGCTCCTGCAGTGCTGCATAAAGGAAGGAGGCTGAGCTGCCACCTGGGCTGAAGCAACAGGCTATGAGAAAAGATTCTTCTTTTGGGCTGTGCAATGCCCATCCAATGTAATGCCATGCCAGGCTGGCCTGTGATATCTCCTGGTTCGTGGAATACAGACAGCACCCAATGTACTAAGTATATAAACTTATGGCACAGCTTGCACGATGCCACCCAAGTATCTCTCTCTCTCTCTCTCTCTCTCTCTCTCTCTCTCTCTCTCTCTCTCTCTCTCTCCCCCTCTCCCTCCCCCCCCACACACACACGCTTAAGCAAGCATTGCCTTTGCTGTACCCCTATGCCACTGAACATACAACAGGTAAATTTAGCTGCCACGACTCAGCCTGCTAGTATTTTTAATGGGCACATGCACAACACTGTAATTGTAGGAGTTCACACAGATTAATGCAATGCAGTCTAGCTGAAAGCTCCTTTCCACTCAAAAGGGTTTCAAGGAAGTGCCTTCCAGATAAAATACTAAAGGCCCCATCAAGATTTGACTCTGACCCAGTCACAGACCCTATCACAGTCTTATTGACTTAAATGTAGCCACACTAGCCTATAAATCTATGAAGATGCATGAAATACAAACCTGTAATCTTCCCTCGCCTTATTTTCTGAACTTTATATTGCACTGACATTCCTACCAGTAGGTAGAGATCATAAGCTGGATTTAATATGATGTTCTCCAAAATAAACAATCTGACTTCAGCAGCAGGCACATTCTGTTGATTAAGAGGATAATTAATTTAAAGGCTCAACCACACACATATCCAAATAAATAATTAGCTTTATCATAAAAAGGTAACATCTTTTTTTAAAAAATTCTGAGAATAAAAAGCTTGACCACACTACTGTTGCTTTCTAGTAACTTCATGTCTCATCTAGGAATGGATATGAACAAATTAAATTAAGAAAATTAAAAGTGAAAACTCTTTTTGCATAATCTGACAGTTTCATTGTCATACAATGCTGACATAAAAGTTCCCAATAATTTACAGTACACTATTATGTGAAATACATTTTTTTTCTTTAAGTGTATACTGTTCATACATGCACAACATTTGGTTTATTACTACTGCATAGATAGCTGAAAGTTTTAAAAAAATTAAGTTAAACTGATTTTTAAAGACAAAGCCTTATTTATCAATGTGTATATCTTGTAAGAGGAAGAAAGGTGGGATATAAAAAGCCCCGAGGCGTTTTGCGAATGGGGTGGCATAGAAATGTTCTAAATAAATAAATAAATAAATAAATAAATATAAATGCAATATAAGAAATAACAGCCACTCTCAATTTGATTTTATTGGAGATGTTGACATGGTATAAAGTCCTCACTGAGAACGGCTCAGTTGCCAACTGAACTGTCTCTGCAGTCCAATTCTTCCTTTAACTTCCCTGCTATTGTTTTTATTTTTATTTCTAGTTTATACTGCACTCTGAGCCACCCAGAGAGCCTTTGGCTGCGGGGTAGCATACAAATATGATAGACAAATAAATAAATAAACAAACCAAAGCCATTAAATTCAATAAACTGGTTAAAATGGTTTTAAACAGAGTTAAGGTTATGCATGAAAAAGCAGGGAAATGGTGAGTTGTATCCTTCATATGAATACAGAAAATGCAACTGAGATTCTTACTTCCAAAGCAGGTAAACTATCTGGGGATGGCTCATACGATATGCAGGGGAGACTGTGAGATTATGATAAATTGGTGGTCAATTTATGGCTCCTTCCTTCCTTCCTTCCTTCCTTCCTTCCTTCCTTCCTTTATTTATGGTGCAGTCCTGGCCAACCTGGTGTCCTCCAGATGTGTTGGACTGGAGTTCCTACCATTCCTACCTGGCATTATGCGGCTGGCTTGGAATGCTGGGAATTGCATATGGAAGACATCAGGTTAGGAAGGCTGTTCTGGATCATTGTCTTTCCCAGAATTAGGATAGAACACATTTCAACTTGATATATTTAAAAAAGAAAAGAAACTAAAACACTTCGGTACATGAGTTTTCCATGTAGTATGCAAGTTGTAACTACATACAATACTTCATCTATGCTGCCAACGATTTCTCCAAGTATAAAGGTTTTTATAATGCCAAGGATGGGCTATTTATTTATTATTTATTTATTAAAAACTTTTCTATACTGTCCCATCACAGATGTCTCAGGATGGTTTACAACAAATTAGGATGGTCATTGGCACCCTCTTTTCTGGAGTCGGGCTAGAAGATATGGGATCCACCAAAGACAACCAAAATAGGTGCAGCACTTTAAAAGATTACCTGAAACCAAGTGCATCTTGAATGCCTAAGGAAGGCAGTTCTAAGATAATCTTTTTAAAGTGCTGCACCTTTTGGTGGTTCCATATGTTTGATGGTTTGTTTGTGGTATTTTATCTTTGGTGGGCTCCATTTATTCTAGCCTGACTCCAGAAAAAAGGGTGCCAATGCAGCCCAACATTTCTACAGGGCACAGATTCGGAAGGATGCTCAAAGAGAGAGAGAGAGAGAGAGAGAGAGAGAGAGAGAGAGAGAGAGAGAGTGTTAAGACATCCTAAATTGCTCATCATCAGTTTTTCACAACTCCTTTTCTCTCCTGCATATCATATGTTTGATCTACTTTAGCAGAATGAAAAATTTCACTTGCACTTTTTGGCTTCTTCTGGCTCAAGAGCCTTCACTCAGAATTTCCCTGATGTGTGGTGCTTGGGTGAAAACTATATAGCCTGATTTTTTTTCTTTTGTAAACAGTGGCATTTTGTTGATTGAATATTGCAATCTTTTCAGGAAGAACAGAGCTAAGTTTGACCTCTGGAAAGCACCTGTGGGGACTGCCTCTTTGGAACATCTTCTGTTTTGAAGAAGTGTCATGTAGTCTGACTCTATCTGTGCACAACCTGTACATTACCAAATAAACTCAAGTATTACTTATCCAGTGATTTCTCTTCAAAAGGTAACTAAACAAAGAGAACGCCTTGAGAAAATGGAGAACTATTAACAATGTCTTTCCCAGTACACTGGTATGCCATAATAATAATTTAAAAAAAAAACAATAAACTGATAGTAAAGAAAAAAAGGGGGGTAAGGAAAGAGAAATGGGAGGTGGGGGAGAGAAGATGTCTAACTGAGCAAGGAACTATCCCCTTGTCCAAAATTCTAGTCTGTGGCTTCTAGAGTTGCTATGCATTATTCAAGTCTGTGGTTATTACTACATCCTTTGAAAGCAAGAGGTTTGGTACTTTGGGGAGAAGAAATGGATGTCAACTTGCAAAATATTGAATGCTGCAAGTTAACTTAAGCGATAGTATTCTGTATTGCCATGTGGGTAATCTGCACTGCCATGTGGTGAATGAAGTATAGCGTTCAATTTTCTCTGAACTCACACAGTTTATGAAGAAAAAGAACGTAGTGAGAAGGGATGCCTCAGCATCCCCAAATCAAATACTCCGCAGGGCTTGTGCCTGCTCAGTCAAGAAAACCGAGGAAGAATGTGAAGAGGAACCAACGGAGTGGGGGGCAGGAGGAAAATGGAACCCTCTCCCCCGAAATCTGCCAATTTAGAAATGGTAATTAAGAACTAAGCTTGCTAACTTGCATTTTAATACACTTTAAAAGTTAATGTTAACTAATTTAAAGTTAATTGTATTTGAATTAATTCATTTAATGTTTTCTGATTTTGAAATCTATCTTCTCATCCTGCGCTGAAGTTGAACTTTAAAAAATGGCATGAGGTGTACTGGGAACAGGGGTGCCTGCGAGGAACACCCACAAGATCTCATGGAGGAAAAAAAGTTCCTTTGCCCTTTCTCATGGTAATTTCTGATCAGATGGTAAATCTAACATTAGGGTCTTGTGAGGTAAAAAGTAGGATGGAAACAGATACTAAAGTGTCCTAAAAGATTCTCAGGAACATCACCAACCATCCTTGTAACTTAGGTAGGTGCTGTGGAATGAGATGAAAGGGTGGAGCACCGTGGGGCAGGAAGCTGTGGCTCTAATTAGTCCCTCCAACTGGCTGTCACAGATGCACCTGTGTAACAGGGCCTCTGCCCTGGCTTTTCCTTGGCGAACAGGCCTGTGCGTGTGCCAATTGCATCTATGCTGCCAAAGATTTCTTCAATTATAAATATTTTTATAATTCCAAGGATGGACTATTTATTTATTTATTTAAAATGCTTCTGTGCCGTCCCATCACAGATGCCTCAGGATGGTTTACAACAAATTAGAACAATAAATTAAAAATAAAATACTAGATACCTTACACTTGGTGTTGCTTCTGTAGAACCTTCAGACCATAGCAAAGGCCAGGTCATTAATCATGATCTGCAGAACAGCCTACATATTCTCAACAGATCTGCACAGCTATCTGCTTCCTTCAAGGTGCAGTTCAAAGTAATGGCTCTGATCTTTAAAACACTACACCATCTGGGTCTAGGGTATCTCAAGGGTAGCTTAGTTCCATATGAATGTGGTCATTTGTTCTAATATTTCAAGGCCCTACTTTGGATGAATGAACACAGGAACTATCCTCATGGAACACTCTCTCATGATAACTTATGCACAGTATATATATGCACTACCTATTTGAACATATGAATGATTAAACAAGTACATATTGTATGCACAAATGCATACATATTCAATGATGAAAAACCTCCCAGTGTAAGACCTGAGTTAAGGATATCTCATGTTGCCTCTATCCCCACAAGAGTAGGAAATTGGAAGCTAAAGCTGATGTTTTAAAGCTGATACTTTCCAAGATCAGTCAGTGTGCAATTTCAGAAACTGCGCTTGCTTGCAAGGTACCCTCCACACACCCCTTGCTCCTTCAAGCCATGTGGGCACAATGGCGTTCCTGATAAGAGCAAATTAGTCCCACGCTGCCCTGTGAAACTCTGTGCCTGGCCCAAAGTCACCCAGTTGGCTCCATCGATGAGCAGGGACTAGAACCCAGATCGTCTGAGTCACAGATCTGCACTCTTAACCACTACACCACACTGGCTTTCCTTTAGGAAGAGATGAGAGTGGTAAGGAAGGGAGTAAAGCTAACAAACTCATCTTTACTCATCTTTCATGTGTATAGATTATACGCAACATCAGTGTCTTATTATGGCTAGAATCTTAATGCTCTGAGTGAGTGTACATGATATGCAGGCAAAATCTTACTGCTGAGGGTCTGTTGTTCCAGAGTTCCTGCATAGTAAAATCAGTTTTCTGAAACCACACACAGAATACACAGTGTGTTCTAAGGTTTTCACACTTCACCACAGTTTTTCCAGTTGTCCAGACCCGGGATTGCCATTCTACTATTGTTGATATGCTAATACTATATTGTTCCCTGGAAACAGGGGCCCCTTTTCTTTCTCCCACCTGCAGAAAAGGTAGCTGTGCACAGCAGCAATGCCTCTGACAGCCACACAAAAAAATTGCAGCGGTGCTGTCTTGGATTTTGCCAAGCAGCTCTCTGCTTCTGGCCTTTGTACCACAATGAACTGTGTTTTCTGGGTTCAGATGACCAAACAAGCCACTGTTATATGAAGAAAACCATTCAACAGATGGATGTTTTTGTCTGTGGTTTCTAAAGATTAAACATATCACACTGAACTACCATGACAGGGTTTGTGTGGCTTGACTGACCAACCAACAATGGTAAACAAACAAACACTAAAGCCATCCTGAACTGCTGTCTGAATTTGATAATGGACCGGGTGAAGCCCAGTAAACTAAAGCTCAGTCCAGACAAGACAGAAATACTGTTAGTATCTGGTCAGTCAGATGGGTTGAATGGTCAATACTTTGTCCTGGACAAGGTCATGCTCCCCCTAAAGGACAGAGTCCACAGCTTGAGGTGCTCTTGTACCCAAAACTCTCACTTGAGTCCCTGGTGGACTCAGAGGCCAAGAGCACCATCCTTCAGTTGTGGCTGATTTACCAGCTATGGCCATATCTTGACAGACAATGCTTAGCCAGTCATGCATGCCCTGGTAACATCCAGGTTGGATTACTACAATGTGTTCTTCAAAGATGGGGCTACTGGTTCAAAACTGGGCTGCTCAACAGTTAATAAGAACAGTCCATGAGTCCATATTACACTAGTTTTATATCATCTACACTGGCTACCAGTGGAAGTCCAGGCCCAATTTAAAGTGCTTGTACTTACATATAAAGCCCTAAATGGTTTGTACTCTGGGCACCTGAAGGACCGCCTTCTCGTGTATGTTCCTACCTGTCTGATAAGTTCAAGTCAGGAGGTCCTTCTTAAAGAGCCATCCCCCAGGAAAGTGAGGGGAAGGGCAGCAAGCAGGAGGGCCTTCTTGGTGGTAGCACTCCATCTCTAGAATAGGCTCTCCAGAGGCTCAGTATGAACAAACCAGCAACTGATTCTTCAGCTAGAAATCTGACTCTGATCTTTAGTTAATATTCACTGAAGATAAACATGAAGGAAATTCATGAGGAACACTTTGGACAGCTAAGAAGAAAATTGATAAGCTACATGGACTGGAGCAAAGGAAAAGTGACTTTTGTTCATCCACCTGTACAGTTCTTTCACCCTGTAGAAACCTTTATCAAGCTCATCATTCCAAATCTCTAAAAATGCTTTCTAAGATTCCCTGTGGCTTCTTCCCCAAGACCCCCTTGATATTTTAAAAGGTACAAGTCACAGACCAATTTCTGTTCTGTGCATGTTGAAGACTTCAGCCCTATAATTTCTACAATATTTAGCTTGGTTAGAGACGAGGGGACTAAAAATGGTCCCCTGGTTTTGGAACAATAATGAAGATAATATGGGGTAATATTCTGGGTGGGATAATAACAAAGCATTTGTTATAGTCAGTGGCTTTTAGGAACACTCACATTCACCAGTGAATGCTGACCATGTACTATGTATTTTCTCGCTGCTGCAACAAGTGAGAGAAATGAATGCAGAAACACATATTCAAGTATTCAGCAGTGTATCATCTTATACCATCTTTCAGTCTCACAAAAGACCAAAGGATTCCTTTCTTCGCAGTAGATATCTATCTGTTATAGCTTACTTTCAGTCAGCATCATGAATCTTGTGTACAAAAGCTCATGCCACAGTACATCTGTTCATCCTAAAGATGCTGTAGAATTCTTGGTGAATTGTGCTATATTACAGTATATGTCTCTCTTATCAGCAGTGCTTTATTTCCATTACTGGGCACTAGTTGATAATAGGAGGAAAAAGATCATTTTAAGACATGGCTATAATAGAAATACTGGTTAAAAGCATCTTACCTTATAAGTAGTTTCTTGTATTCTTGCTTTTAATTTAGAACTTCCTGTTTTCATGCCAGACACTAGCACAATGTCTCCTTGTTTGCCAACTTTTTCCATCCCCCATATATAGGGAGGTGGTATATATGTTGATTCTGAGAACTTCAGGATACTGCGAAAGCATTAATAACATTAGATGTTAACATTTCTAAATTTTGCTTTAATATCTGTTGTTCATGCCAATACTAAAACATGCTTTTCATATCATGAGGAATGTGTCAGACAGGGAAGACGGTGAAATTTTAAGAACAACATTTTATATTGGAAAGTGGCACAAACACAGGGGTCTAAAAGGTCAGACCCAAATAATTTTCTTCTTAAAAAAGAAATATTTGTATCCTACTGAGAAGCCACAAGAATTAATAAGAACACTGAAAACTGTCCGTTAAGTATTTTGTATACCCAGAGGAATTTAGAATTTGCTAACTACCAAAATTGATGAGTCCTAAGACCCCTCTTCCTGTTTGCTGTCCTTTGCTCACCTTTTCCTTCAGCCCAACTGCCACTTCATGGATCCTCTTCCCCTCTTTCTTCTCTTTGAGGGAAACCCCGTAGGAACCACTGAGTCCTTGTTCGCTGATATTTTGCATCACATCCACAACAGATGTTCATGTAAATGTAACATGTGGGCCAAATACAATAACCGTTTTTGTACTTTGCTCCTATGCATGTGCTGTTAATCCTATTCTCAAGCTGCCCAGGAGCATATTATGAAGTGAGATATCACATAGATACCTACTTATATTTCCTAACAGTTACTTCAGTTACAGATTCTCTGTATCCAAGTGTAATCCATCTTGCATATCTCTAGATACCTACTTTAGTGGTCTTTGGACATAGCCTGGTAACATTTCTATGCTCCAAACGATCACACTTTAGGATGTCATATTGTTACGTTACGTTATTGTTTTAAATACTTGTTCATGAGTCACCCTGAAAATTGAGCTTCAGTGGAAAGGTAGGACATAAATCTCAAGCAAGTACAGTGGTACCATGGCTCACGAACTTAATCCGTTCCAGGACTCTGGTCATGACCCAAATTGGTCATGAGCCAAGTTAAATTTTCCCATAAGGTTCAATGTAAATAAGGTTAATCCACTCTGTAACTATTTTTTTTTAATCAGAAAAATGTAAAGCAAAGTGACAAAGAACAACAGAGATCGTGGCCATCTCCCCCTCACCCTGAGCACGAGCCTGGCCATCTCTCTGCCTCCCCTCCCCCCCAGGACGACTGCGATTGTGCCCATCATTCCCGTCATTCCTGCGTCATTCTGGCGCATCATTCCAGGGTGGGGGGAGAGATGGGCGTGATCGCGGGCACACGGGGGGGGAGAGACAGGCGTGAATGTGGGTGTGCGGGGGGGGGAGAGACAGGAGCGATTATGCTGTGGGGAGATGGTTGAGATCACGGTTGCGCTCTTGCAGGAAAGATGGGCACAATCTCGGCCATCTTCCCATTCGGGAAGGTGGGGAGATGGCCGCAATCGCGGTCACCACCCAATGCGGAGTTCATGACCTGAGTCAAAAATTTTATTAATTTTTTGTTTGCCACCCAATTTGGTCGTGAACTGAGGCATTCATGAACTGAGGTACCACTGTACCTAGAATTAAAGATAGTTAAATTTCAATTATTTTAATGTGAGAGAGATCAGCACATGTGCTTAGTCCATGCTTAGGTTTACCTGTACCTTGCCCATTTTTAAATAAATTGAGCTCTTGAAAGCAACTTTATATTCACTGCACCTTTTCTCCCAGATTATCAACCATTTAATATCCTGCTTAGTTCTAATTTGCAAAAATTGTTTATACGAGAAAAATTTTATTTACTATTCTGTGCACTACTTGGACGTGGCCAGAAACTCCAAGATATAAAATCACTTAAAATGCTTATTGTTTCATTTAGAATGAAAGTAACTGAATTGGGGTATAAAAAGAAAATCGCCTTCATTGAAGACCTATTTTCAAAGAGTCAGTATCAATATCGGAGCTACAGCAACAAATAAGAAGACCAGAATGAAAAGTATCCAAGGAGACAGTGCTCCTATATAGCATTTAAAGCTGATGAATCTTAGCAAAAATGAAAACTGAAACACGACATTTCTGTCTGAAAGCAATGAAGTGTGGCTCCTTGTAAAGATGGCTCAGCTACTAAGGCAATGAAAACAAAAATACAAGGGAGCTGTGCTTCTGCTTTTCATCATTTTGCAGTTAATGTATGAAGCTGATAAGCATGAAACTCATCCATGATGGGATGCACAAGCTGCAGGTGTTAGCTTGTGAACCAGCTGTATAAAAGAAGGCAAGAAGCAAAAAATCAAAAACCCATCTTAGTGTAATATCTTTATTGTTCAAAGATCACACTGATGTGCAGCCTTTTGAGATGTTCTTATCTTGTCAGCAAGCGAGCTGATAAAAAAAGCAAGTTGGTGGGGAAGTATGAGAATAGGAGTAAGAAAATGAGTGCCCAGATGTTGCAATCTACATTGTTTGCATAGACAGAGTCCTAAACCGGAAAATGAGCACTTGCAAACCTCCAAATTGGGCACTACCAGATGATGCAATACTTCAGGCCCTTATGACAACTGGAAAATAGCAGACAAATGTAGAGTATATGTTTATTTTAGATACCAAACCCAGCTGGTAACTCAAACCTGTTTTGAGTTTGGATGAACCTGACAGGTTTTGTGGTTCATAGAAAACAGAAGTAGAGATCAGCTAGGAAGACTGAGGGTTCCACAGTGAATAAGGTCCACCTTTTTCAAAACGATTACAGGAGATAAGAATTACCTCCAACCTTAGTTGGACTTTTCATCCAGTATCTTTAATGGTATCTTTAATATTAGTATTTGAATTAGTAGAAAAATTAAGTCTTTCTTCTAACCCATCAATGGATAGGTAACACATCAGGACAGCTACATGTGCCAAAGTAAAATGGCTTGACTATAATTTTCTTAAAGGTTTTTTGGCTTTCTGTGATCTTGCATGCCAACCAAGAAAGCTATCTTGCTTTATACCATTTGTTTGTCAAGTACAAAAAGGCAGGCATTCTTAATGGTGGAGTAAACTTACCAGCATAGTTTATGGAAGCCAAAATCTGACAATTTCAAAGCACACTCAATATCTCATTTTTATCTTCAGTTTGATTTGATTTTTTATTCTGTATGTTAAAATAGGCATGCATGAGATTTAACACTAAACAGCAGAAAGAGAAGGGCTGGAAACCTTTGGCAAACTGCAGTGCATGCTAACCATAAGTCTCCTGTGTGTGCTCAACAGAAAAAAAAAAAGAATACTAACATATATTTGCTACTGATAAAGGATATTCCTATGCGTAGGATTAAGGAAATGGTAGAAGAAAACAAACGGGGCAAAATTCTTTTCCTTGTTGTCATATTTTTATAGGTTTATCATGTTGGTTAGCATTTATTTATTTGTTTTGTTTAATTTGAATTGGAAGCCAAGCTGATATTATTGGATAACACATAGCATGCATACATGCATAAATAAATAAATAAAGTAAACCTTTTTAAGACAATAGAATGAATTTATATATATTTTTACTATTTTCTGAGCCAAAGTAGAACTTATACAGTTATAAATGTTTCAAACATCTATAAACATCTTCTTTCATTTACTTTGCAGTTTTAAAGTGTCACAAATACTAACTAAATTATATTTTGTGTTTTCATTGATGCAGAGGAATGCTGGGCCTTGTAGGACTTTTCTCCAGGCTCCACAATGAATGCAATTCCATTAGCAGAGTTGCCCAGAGCACCCTCTAGTTCAGTTTTATTGGAAGAGTTTCACCTGTTGCAGTATAGATGCAAATAAGGTGCTCAGCCAAGTACAGTGGCTCACCTGTTTGCTTGACCCTTGCCTTTCACAGCTTATTATCTCTAACAGGCAGGATATCAGTGGGATCAGGGTCCTATTAACTCTTTGAGAGAGGAAGTAGCCTCTTTAAAGGAGTAAGGAATTATGCTACTTTTAAGAAAATGTAAGATGGAGGCTATGGATCACAGTCAACCTTCCCTTCTTGGGCAAGGTGTCTGAGTGGATGGTTGCCACCCACTCAGTTTGAGGCACTCCTCAATGAAATGGAGTACCTAGATCCTTTCCAATTGGGTTTCAGGCATGGTTTTAGAAGAGAAACTGACTTAACTGCCCTGTTGGATTATCTCTGCCATAAGTGGAACAGGGATGCATGACTGTTGATTTTTTTGGGGCTCTTGGTAGATTTCAGTATCATCAACTGTGGTATCCTTCTGCATAGCCTATCTGGGTTAGGAATTGGAGGTATGGCATTGGAGCGATTCCGCTCCTCCTTGGATGGCTGATTCCAGAAAGTGGTACAAGAGGGTTTTGGCAGGACAAATGGGACTAGTTTTGATCTTTGTGTTCTTCAATATCAACATAAAGCCTTGCAAGCAGGATATGCAGATGTGTGGGCTAAGGCAGCCTTCCCCAACCTTGTGCCTTCCAGACACATTTGGAC